AATCATTTGATGTAATATAGATATATATAGACTTCCAAAAGATGTGCAACAAAGTACCACAAGAAAGACTCCACAAACTGTAGTCAATGGGTATTAAAGGCAAGACATGGATATGGATTCAGAATTGGCTGTAGGGAAGGAAGCAGAGGGTCTTTTTTAGGGAAACCAGGTTAAACTGGGCGAGGTACTAGCGGGTGCTTCAGGGGTCTGCACAGGGAGCTCTCCTGTTCCTTGTATATATTAATGACCTGAATTCACAGACACAGTATGAGATAGTTACATTTGAAGATGACAGCTAGTGGGGTGGGGGTACTATGAAATCAGAGGAGGCAGCAAATGTCCTACAGGAGAGCTTGATAGGCTATGTATTTGGGTCAATAACCAAGTGAAGTTTAATACTGATAAATGTAAGGTTCTATATATAGTATCAATTTCGATATATAGACCCATTTCCAACCTGCCCTTCCTTGCTAAAGCTCTGGAACATATTGTTGCTATCCAGGTTTGCTTCTCATCTCTCGCTCCACTCCCTCCTCGATCCCCTCCAGTTTCCATCCTGTCCACAGCACAGAGATGGCGCTTGTCAAGGTCATGAAGGACATCCTCTCTCTATGTGACCAGGGCTCCCTCTGCCTCCTTGTCCTCCTGGACCTCTCCACCATGTTCGACTCAGTCGACCACATCCTCCTCTCCTTCCTCATCCACCTCAGTCGAACCGCACTAGGCCTGGTTTGAGTCCTACCTAACAAACCACCTTCACTTTATCTCTTAAAACAGTTTCTCCTCCCACCCCCACCCGGTCACCTGTGGTGTACCCCAGGACTCCATTCTTGGCCTCCCCCTCTTCCTCATCTGCTGCCGCAGACACAGGATAAACATCTACATGTATGTAGATGACACACAAATCCTCCTTCAGTTGCAACTCCAGGTCCACCAATGTTCTCTCGGATTGTCTAGTGGATATCAGGGCCTGAATGATTGAAAACTTTCTACAACTCAATGTTGACAAGACGGAAGCCATACTCATTGGCTTCCGTCAAAGTCTTCTATCCTGTGTCTTTGACCTCCTCAACCTCCCCGACCTATCCCAGACTTACCAAATCAGTGCGACCCACAGCGGTCCTTCCTATTCCACATCTGGTCCCTGGCCAAGACTGCCTTCCTCCACCTACACCACATTGCCCGCCTTCAACTGTACCTTACCCCAGATGCAGCCGAAACATTCGTCCATGCATTCGTCACTTCCCGGCTCGACTTCTCAAATGCCTTCTTTGCCAGTCTCCCCAGCTTTACCATGCACATGTTCCAGCTGATCCAAAACTCCGCCACATGTACTAAACTCCGTATCCCCATCACACCAATTCTAGCCAGACTCCACTGGCTCCTTATCACTGAACAGAACAGTTTCAAGATCCTCACACTGTTTCAAATCCCTTCATGCCCTGGCACTTCCCTGCATCTCCAACCTGCTTAACACAACCCGCTGCCTCCGCTCGACTGGCTTCGGCCTCTTGCATGTCTCTCGTGCCCTCTGTTCCACCATCAGTGGCCGCACTTTCAGCCACTACACCCCGAAACTCTGGAACACTCTTTATCCCTGCACCTTGCCCTTTCCTTACCCATTTTCAGGTCGTGCCTGAAGACCTTTTTCTTCAACTGTGCCTACAGTCACCTCCCCCTTCATCGGCTCAGCGTCGTGCTCCTCCACTGTCAAGGACTTTGGAACGCTACCTTACATGAGGGGTGACGTGTAAATGCAAGTTGTTGTTGTTGAGTTTAGACATCATTTTTTTGCCTGTACAGCTCTTTTAAACACTGCAGACAGATTCCATAGATCCCCCCACATGCCATCATCTGCAAATGTTACACTGTGTAATCTTACACTGTGTATGGCAGCATCTATGGAGAGAGGAAAGTAAGTTAACATTTCAGGTCGATGACCTTTTGTCAGAACTCACTAAATGATTATTTGACATCCAACAAGCGTGGGTTTGAGGTCTCACTAGGTGAACGGCAGGTACCAGGAACTCCTTGCGACCTTCCTGGTGGGCAACACAGCTCAGCATGAAATGTGGAGAGCATTGCCACCATCTTCCTCCTATGGATCAGACACACGTCCCGTCCCACTGAGTGATGGTCCCACCAGTTGGAGGTGCAGAGCTGAGCAGCAGCTGCTGGCCTCTCTGCAGGCCAATCAATGTGGGTTCCAGGCACTGGATACATGAACATGTGTCACAAACTCGGACTCCAGATAACTTTCCAGCAGCTGTCACCCCAAGACTCAGAGTTTCTTCATCAGTTATCTGACAGACATCTGCCTCCAGCATGGTGAAGTGAGACTGCCATTTTAATGCTGAGTTATGGCTGAATTATGGCTGTGGACGACTTAGAAATGGATGAAGACAGCACCAAACCAAATTCTAGTTCAGAGTAGATGGTCATTCCATCAACTTGGCTGCATCTGAACCAGAGATAAAAGGACACCACTGGACCATCCCATCCCTAAGAAATTTTAGGCTGTTAAGTTGGGCTTGTTGAGGGGGAGAATACTCATCCTGACTGTTCACAAAGCTTAACAAGAGAGATGCACCAAGGGGATAAGGACAGGGAGCAACTTAGAGAAATTTTCATTAGTAGAGAATTGGTGTTGGGGAAACTGTTAGCACTGAAAAGTGACAAATCCCCTGGTCCGGATGGCTTGCATCCCAGGTTTTAAAAGAGGAGCTTATGAGATAGTGGAGGCCTTATGTCTGATCTTCCAAAATTCCTTGGATTCTGGAACAGTCCCCATGGATTGGAAGATCGCAAATGTCACACCACTATTTAAAAAAGGTGGAAAGGAAAAGATGGGGAAATATAGGCCAGTTAGTCTCACATCAGTGATAGGAAAAATTTTAGAATCATTGATTAAGGATGTGGTAGAGCGGTATTTAGGGGAGCACAATATAATTAGGCCAAGTCAACATGGCTTTACAAAAGGGAAGTCATGTTTGACAAATCTCATAGTTTTTTTTGAGGATATTTCCAGTAAACTGGATAAGGGTGAATCAGTGGATGTGGTCTATTTGGACTTCCAGAAGTCATTCAATAAGGTGCCGCATAAAAGGTTAGTCCAAAAGGTTAGCCCATGGAATTGGTGGGAGCATATTAACATGGATTGGGGAATGGTTAACGGGTAGGAAACAAAGAGTAGGGATAAACGGGTCCTTTTCAGATTGGCGGGATGTGATTAGTGGAGTGCCACAAGGATCAATCCTTGGGCCTCAGCTATTTACCATCTACATCAATGATCTATATGAGGACATCGAAGTTAATATATCTAAATTCGCGGATGACACAAAACTAGGAGGAAGTGTCAACACAGAGGACAACATTAAAAATACAGCGAGACATAGATAGGTTAGGTGATTGGGCAGGTAGGTGGCAGATGAAGTATAATGTAGGGAAGTGCAAAGTCATCCACCTCAGTAGCAAAAACAGTAGAGCGGGTTATTTTTTAGAAGGGGAGAGATTGGAATGGTTAGCGTCCAGAGGGACTTGGGTGTCCTTGTACACCAATCACAGAAAGTTAGTCTGCAGGTGCAGCAGCAATTAGGAAGGCGAACGGTATGTTTGCATTCATTATGAAAGGATTAGAGTATAAGAGTAGGGAAGTTTTGCTGCAACTGTATAGGGCCCTGGTGAGACCACACCTGGAATACTGTGTCCAGTTTCGGTCTCCTCATTTAAGGAAGGATGTACTTGCCTTGGAGGGGGTGCAGCGTAGATTTACTAGGTTAGTACCAGGGATGAAGGGGATGAGTTACGAGGATAGGTTGACCAATTGGGGCCTATATTCTCTAGAATATAGAAGAATTAGAGGGGATCTTATAGAAACCTATAAGTTCATCAAAGGGCATGATAGAGTAGATAGTGGGAGACTGTTTCCCCTGGTTGGAGAAACTAAAACCAGGGGTCACAACCTTAAAATCAGAGGCAGCCCTTTCGCACTGAGTTGAAGAAGAACTTCTTCACACAAAGGGCGGTGAATGTATGGAACTCACTATCCCAAAGGGCTGTTAACGCTCAGTCCTTGAACATATTCAAGACTGAGATAGATATGTATCTTATTGCAAAAGGGATTAAGTAATATGGGGATAAGGCAGGGTTGGGTTATTAGCTGGAGTTAGATTAGACGATCAGCCATGATTGAATGGCGGGGCAGGCTCGAAGGGCCGAATGGCCTACTCCTGCTCCTACATGTTATGTTCCCCAAAACTGCACAAAAATATTTGTTTAAAAAAATCAACAAAGAAAACAATCAGTGAGGATAGTAATTTCTATTGGGATAGTGATGAAATCTATTTTCAATATATTGAAATTAACACACGTTTATATCCTTTCTTAACTTAAATAAGTATCCTTGAAAAACTTGAATATAACATGAAGAGTGAAACTAGTTCCACTCACAATGCGATTTAAATATGAAACTTCTACTTAACTGGCCAGAGACCCAAGCTCTTCTTTGCTGCACAACTATTTATGATCTGAATACAGAGATTTTTTTTATACTCAGATTAAAAAAAAAAGTTCATTCTCTAAACTCTTTTCGTAAAAATATATATAATCCTTGCATTTGATATAACGCCTTATCACGCCTTCGAGACTTTGCAAAGCGCTTCACAGAATATACTGTAAAGTGAATTTACTGTATATTTTGTGGGCGAAATGCAGCAGCCAATTGCGAACAGCAGTGTCCCACAAACAGTCGGGCATTGAATGACCAAATTATTATTTTAGTTTTACTTTTTTGAAGGGATTATTACCCCTAGAAAAGTGACTTAACAACCGGGTTCCTACATACTGCTAGATAAACAGAGGTGTGTGGAGTATGGAAACTTCGCCCACAAATATACGGTCAATTCACTTTATAGCATATTCGGTGAAGTGCTTTGGGACGTCTAGAAGACGTGAAAAGCGCTATATCAAATGCAAGGATTATTATTATTATAACTTGCCCAACGTTTTGCCCTGCCCGGGAATCAAACAGTTACATAGAATCAGCATTGAGTTTTCTATTCTTGTCTTTATTTTTGTTTTTCTATGGAGTTGACAAAGTGGTTAAGCCGTGAGTGTGAAAGAGACTGACAGCAGCGGGCCCCTGGCCAGGAGAATCTTAGAACGTCACGGCACAAGGAACAGACAGCAGAATATTTATGTTCATTGACCCAACTCCCATACCCCATACCTCATCCAAGACCCACTTGCTCATCAGCGTGCACCAGCCTGTTTCATATCCCCTGCCCTACCATCAGCTTGTGGGTTCTTCCCCCATTCTCTGGAGTTCCATCCTGGAGTTCTCTCTGACTCGCTCCCTCCCTCACCTCGTTCAAGCTCCGTCTCAAGTCTTAACTCTCCAGTCATCTTTCCCTTCTCGCCTCAGCTCCCATGCCCAGCTTAGGTGCCCAGACAGTACTGTTAAGTGCTTTGGGACACTCTCCCGATGTGAAAGATGTTGCATAAATCTAAATTTATATAGTAGTGTATTGTATGAAGCCTATCTTGGACATTCCAGGGATCATGGGATCAAGATCTTGCGATTTCCCTGCCTCCTCACTGCATCATGTAATATTTCTACTTCCCTGGTATCCAGCCATCTTCTTGAATCCCTCAATCTGTGAGAAAGTATTCATCTTAGCCTAGGTCCTAACCAGTTTTACCTGAGTCATAAAGTGATGTCACTTGTTTTAAAACAACATCCGTAGAAAGGCAGAGATAAAGGAAAGGCTGGTTGAGTTATTGACAATTCTCTGTATACGTTTATGATTATCTTCAAGAAAAATTGTTACTACGAGATATGGAATGATGATCTGACCATGGTGATCTGAAACAGATTCAACTCTAGTTATACATTCCATAAAATCACCATCTTCTTCCTGTGATTGTGAACGGTGTGCGCAGCTACTCCCAGGAAAAGCCTTTCCAGGGGTCAGTTTTGTTGTGCAAATAATTTCAGTGTCCAAACAGCATTTATTTATTCCCCAGACCTGCAAGATAAAAAACACTCTGTTAGGGCCAGCCTTGTATGAATTGTTTTGGAGATTATTTATCAAATTATTGAAACATTTCAAACAACTATATATGTATTTTCTATTGCCAATTGGCCAACGATTTGGTGAGAAGTTTGTGGATTTAAGTCTCAAATTGGGTCTTGAGCTCACAGTGTTAGAATTTACACTTTTTGTATAATGTTAGAATCACAATAGATGTTGCGAACGGGTTAACTTTTAAGCTGGACTGAAACTCCCTGCATGTACACGAGATAACGGACTGTCTCAAGGACAGTGTGTTTGTGTGTGTGAGGCGTGAACCCAGCATGATTTTGATCAGGCGATCTAATGTCCGCACCATGATTGGATGAACATTGGTATAAGAGTTCTGATAACTTTGTGTACGGGGCTGTCCCGGGTCGCAGAGACAAGGATACGCGAGATGGAGCCGTCCCGGTTCTCGGAGACAAGGATACGGGAGATGGAGCCGTCGCGGAGACAAGGATACGGGAGATGGAGCCATCCCGGGTCGCGGAGACAAGTATACAGGAGATGGGGCCATCCCGGGCTGCGGAGACAAGGGTACGGAGATGGAAGACTGAGAGCTAGAAACACTAAGACTGAGGATATCAGATGGAAGATTGAAAGCTGTAAGCAAGAAGACTGAAAACATAAAGAATCAAACTTGTGTGCTGGAAAGACACAGTGTTGAACTCTTGAACTCGAGATATCTATAGTGGTGTTATTCTGTTATAAGATCTGTTGATTGTACCGGCCTTTGGTCTGACCCATCGGGATATTGGGGAATAACGAACGAATAATAATGAAACAGTCTGATATCTGGTTAGAGGAATTAGCGTTATTTCCTTACAGATTTGGCTGATTTTATTTTCTAACAGTTTTGGCATAGTCGGCAGGATTCCCCAGTAAACAGACAAGGGAGGTACAATCAAGCCTTGACGAAAGTTTAATGATGTTGCATGTTTGAATACATCAATGTCTGATTGTTTTTAAAGCTGAATATTTGACTATATTACCTAGGAAGTTTGTGATTGTCTCCTTGAATGTTTGAATACATCAAGTAGAGGACAATAGTTTTCAGTAAGCTGTGGATGCCACACTAAGGTGTAGTCGGGACCAAGCTTCGATAACGGTCAGGCGTTTGAGTACGCTGGCAATCGCACCAGGCATTTAAGTGTGCTGATGTGCGTGTGAACGACATTCGAATATGTTGATATATTGTGTGTCGATGTGGAAATTGTGTAAGTGATGGAGTAACTTTCGGGTGTTCGAACAGTCAGTGGGAAATCCCCTATTACCTCCGGGTATGGCGAGGGACCGGGACCGACAGTAATTGAATGTGTTGTATTTCAATTGTGACTGTGGTCACTGAAAATAACCTGTTGGTTACAACAGAGCTGTGAAATAAGTCAGTACAAACTGAGGGAAGCAAATCCCCTATTACCTCCGGGTGAGGAGAGGGACCAGGACTGATAGTAATTGAATGTTGATTTCAATTGTGACTGTGGTCGCTGGAAATAACCTGTTGGTTTTGACTGAGCTGTGAAACCCGAGAGAAATCTCATTAAGAGAGTTTGCCTCCTGGAAGTACCATCCTCCCTCCCAGGTTGTGTGACCTTTTACTATTTTTCTGACTTTGTATTATCTGTCTTTTTGTACTATCAGGTTGTGTAACCTTGTATTATTTTTCTGATTTTGCATTATATTCTTTTTGTAATTTTGTGATACCTCATGTTCATTCGGTATCAAGGTGGGGACTGTTAGAATTTACACTTTTTGTATAATGTTAGAATCACAATAGATGTTGCGAACGGGTTAACTTTTAAGTTAAGTGTGTCGTGGACAGCTGGACTGAAACTCCCTGCACATACACGAGATAACGGACTGTCTCAAGGACAGTGTGTTTGTGTGTGTGAGGCACGTACACCCCATGAGATGTTCACGTGAAATCAGCATGATTTTGACCCGGTGATCTAATGTCCGCACCATGATTGATGAACATTGGTATAAGAATTCCGATAACTTTGTGTAAGGGGCCATCCCGGGCTGCGGAGACAAGGGTACGGAGATGGAAGACTGAGAGCTAGAAACACTAAGACTGAGGATATCAGATGGAAGATTGAAAGCTGTAAGCAAGAAGGCTGAAAGCATGAAGAATCAAACTTGTGTGCTGGAAAGACACAGTGTTGAACTCTTGAACTCGAGATATCTATAGTAGTGTTATTCTGTTGTAAGATCTGTTGATTGTACCGGCCTTTGGTCTGACCCATCGGGATATTGGGGAATAACGAACGAATAATAATGAAACAGTCTGATATCTGGTTAGAGGAATTAGCGTTATTTCCTTACAGATTTGGCTGATTTTATTTTCTAACAACAGTCTTAGCTAATGCTGCAGTGCAGTGTTGGGTGCAGCACTACATTATTATAGGTATCATTGTTTATGTGACATGTAAAATGTAGTTACTGGTTGAATGTTCTTCAGGTAAACAAAATATCCTATGTCACTACTAGCAAAGAGACGGTTTCTTCTGGTGCCCGGCCAAAAAATCCTCCAGTTAATTTGTTATTTATTTCATGACTGTTTGGTGGAACATTGCAGGCAGAAATTCCAGCTGTGTTTGCCTCAGAAACCACCCTATATTTGATAACAGTTAATGGTTCCTTTTGGTCATCTCCCAGATTTGCTAACTGACATGACCACCCTTTTGCAATGGGGCTTGTATATGGCAGAAAGTGCAACCAGTTTTCTCAAATGAACAAATTTAAACAAAAGTGATTCTAAAATTAAACAAAAATCTCAGAAACAATAATCTTATTCTTTATTGCTGCATCTTGGCTTTGCAAGTTGAGAATATGAAAAACTTCTGAAGGGAGGAAAAGGAATCATTTCCTCACATATGCCAGTGGTTTACAAAGTAAAATGAAGTAACCCACTGGAACAGAGTTTGTTGTACAGAAAGTCGGTGTTGTCATACTCTATTAACACAGGTCCTTATCTCATTTATACAGATGTGCTGACAGAAACTCCATTTCTTTTTGTTATGCATCACTTCCCTTCTGTACCTCCACATTTGTACCTACCAATATGTTACTGGCCATACCATACCATGGCTGTTGTGTTCCTGAGATTTGCATGTGCTTTGTAACCTCACCTTTCTTCTGCATAAGGTTCTGCCGTGCTCGGACGAATGCTAGTATGTCAGCATCGGTTTGCCCGTCTCCAGTCAGGGGAATGGATGAATCCAGGCCTGAACTCGGTCTGGATCAAATGATTAACACAAAACATGGTTAGGAACAAAACTCAACAGTGCCTACCTATACCACCATTAAACATAACTACATCCAGACTAAATAATTTAATATAAAGAGGATATTAAACTATTTCAAACATGATTCCTCAACTATGGAATCTGGAAGGCTGTCACGGTGACTCACGGGATCTCGCTCAGTCATAACCTACTTCTGGAGCAGAGTTCCTGGGACCGTCCTGTTTTTAGAATAATTCCCCACTCGTATTCCTTAATTTAGGCATCCTGAAACTGCTGTGATTTGAAGGAATAATTTGAAGCAAAGAACCACCTGCATTAGGATTTGGAATATAGTATCAAGAGGCTGTGGAAGCCAAGCCAATTATGTCATTTAAAAAGAAAGCAAAGGATTACTTGAAGAACAAAGCCATAAAAGGGTTTTGAAGAAGAAAGGAATTAGAGTAGAAATCTCTAGTGGGAGAATTAGCATGGCCTGGATGGGCTAAATCGCCTACTTCTGTGTTCCTCGCCCGGCTCCACTGGTTTCCCATCCCCCCCAGGATAGAGTTCAAAATCCTTGTCCTTGCCTTCAAAGCCCTTTATGGCCTTGCTCCTTCCTACCTCTGTGACCTCTACACTCCGTATCAACCTATCCACTCCCTCCGCTCAGCAGGCTCCAGCCTGGTCTACGTCCCTCGCCTGGCCAGCCCCACCATCGGCGGTCAGGCCTTCAGCCTCTCTGCCCCCCACCCTTTGGAACTCCATCCCACATTCCCTTCGCTTCGCTCCCTCGACTCCTTCAAGGCACATCTCAAGACTCTCCTCTTTGACTGCGCATTTAGTCTTCCTCCTACCTTTACCCTCCCTGCCCTCCACCCCTCCTGATCCCAACCTCCTGCTCGGGTCCAAATCCCTGATTGTCCAGCGCCTTGGGATGACCTGCTAACGTGAATTACAAATGTAATCTGTTGTTGCTGCAAATTTCTATGATTTCAAGTTGCACAATATAATGCTTATTCCAATGAAACAGGCAACAGAACCCAGTTCTCCTTTGTGACTGTATTACATACTGTATCATTTTTATAGAATGCAGTTATGAAGTACATTTTTAAAATTGATAAACCTTAGTGAATGAATGGCTGAAGCAGTAAGGCTGAAGATTGAGGAGTCTTTAAGCAGTGGGGAGGTAGTATCAAGCATGGACTTTAGAAGTTGTAGGATAGTGGTATTAAAATGAAAAGTTTTAGTTGGTTGGTCACAGTGATGCTTTATCTTGTTGTATAGGGAGTGCACCCCAACAATGCAGGTACAAAAATCATCACAGTTCGATGCGAGGTGTCGGTGACTAGTTATTGAGCAGTGTGTGATGTTGGACAGTGTGTGAAGAGGTTGGTATTAGGAGATCGTAAACTCAAACAGAGTATAAGAGGTCTTACCTCAGATGAGACAAGGAAAGTGTGTGGGGCCTGGAACTGCCTTGTGCAACCGAATCTTCTGTGACATGACCACTACTGGCACTGTTGAAAATAAGGAGTTGGACAAAACACAAAGAAAACAGTGATAATCTTGTTGAAAATGAACCTTCAAAGATACAGATTGTTTTGTATTATTATTAGTAATAATAATCCTTACATCCTTTCAATTCTTCCTTACGTTGGGAGGTAGTCTCAAAACACTTCAAGTTACTGCAAATTTGTACTGACTATATATTTTGCAGGTGAACACAGCAGCCAATTTGCACACAGCATGGTCCCACAAACAGCCATGAAGTAAACATCCAATTTTTTGACATAAATCCCACCCATCCCCAAAAAACACCCATGTGTTTATTTTGTGGATAATAAATAACTTAAATAGTGCAATTACTAGGCTTAGACAGCAGATGGCACTGTCTTAAGAGGTCCACAACTGATCCAGCTGTTAGCTGCACAATCAATAATTCACTTTCCTCACACAGTGAGCAGACCTCAGTCCGGCAGCAAACTACTGCCTTGTTTTGTTCTTGATTGAGGTAATAGTTACATTTATAATTGTGAAAATCAGAGCCGAGTAAGAGCCTCAGAGCATCAGGTCTCCTATACAGAACTGATGTATGCAATGAAATAACCAATAGGTGGCAGCATGCTCATATTCTGCTGCTCCAAGTTCAGAAAATATAACTTGTCATGTGCAATGTTAAAAATAACTAATTCATTGTATATCTAAGGGGCTTGAACCCACAGCTTTCTGACTCAGAAGCAAGAGTGTTTCCAACATTACCCAGAACTGAGAGGTTATACCTTTCAGGAAAGGCTGAACGTGCTTGGACTCTTCTCTTGAAAAGAGGAGGGTAAGGGGTGACCTGATAAGAGTTCTTTAAAATTATGAAAGGTTTTGATAGAATAAACATAGGGAAGATGTTTCCACTTGTGGGGGAGACCAAAACCAGAGGCCATAAATACAAAATAGTCACAAATAGATCACACAGGGAAATTCGATTACATTTCTTCACACGGAGAGTAGTGGGAATGTGGAACATGCTACCATAGGGAGTTGCTAAGGTAAATAGCATAGATGTATTTAAGTGGAAGCTAGATAGATACATGTGGGCAAAAGGAATAGAAGGTTATGCTTGAAGGCTTAGTTGAGGAAGAGCAGGAGACTCATGTGCAGCATAAACACTGGCATAGACCAGTTGGGCTAAATGGCCTGTTTCTGTACTGTATATTCTAATGTATTCTAATGTATTACATATAATATACCCCTGGTTGTGCTGACAGGCCATTTAAGTAGGGAGGGAATAAACAGATGAGATTGAATCTATTCTCCTCTACATCTACTCAAATGGACTTTCAGGTGGGGAGGGAAAGAGATGGGGGAGCTACCCGGGGAATAGACAAGAGCAGGAACTCCACCTTTGTTTTCTCCCTCTTTGCTCATTGATGTTGACGTTATTAGTTGGATGAAACATGGAGCCTTGTTGCAGAGCTCAGCACCACAACATGCAAGTGCAATACCAGTGAGCCATCACAGGAGAGGCACAGCATCCGTGTGTGTGTGTGTTACATAAGGCATATGTAGTTTTGAACATTAAATGTCAAATTATAAGGCTAGAAAATAATATAAAACAAGAAATGACAGTGCGTGAAGCCTCCTCACTAGGTGGTTCTGATAGGTTTCCTATCAGTCGTCTGAAAACCAGAGGCTGCAAGTGTTTCCCTCAAAGTCCAGCTATGACTACTGGACCCAATGTGATTTTAGTTTTGACGTTTCACGATTCCTTCTTCAATATATTTTACTTTAAAATTAGCCATTTACCATTCCTTGGCTTGGATGCCAATCCTGGATTGTTAAGCACATTGTACCCCTGACATGAATGGTGCTATGTAAATGTGTATTGTATTATATTCCTTTGTCTATCTGTTTGATTGATCCCACAGAAATACCAGTGATATCAACATTTTGATACAGAAAAATAAACTGCCTTGGATGGGTTAGAGTGACATACAAAAACACACTGAAAAAGGAATTAATTTTACTAATAATAAATCTTGCATTGATATAGCACCTTATCACATCTTCAAGACATCTCAAGCGCTTCACAGAATATAATGCAAAGTGAATTGACTATATATTTTGTGAGCAAGACACAACAGCCAATTTTAAGCACTGTCTTGCTTGATTTCAAAGAAACATGAGGTTTCCTCCCAGTTATCATCTCCTAATACAATACTGTATTGAATGCTCATCTAATTATTTTGTGGGATGTTGCTGGTAGAGATTAGCTAACCTTTTGGAAGCCTGTAGTGGTTGGAGCACTCGCCTTGCAAGCGAAAGGATCTGGGTTTGATTCCCGGCCGGGCTAAACGTTGGGCAAGTTTCCTTACTCCACATGCCTCTGTTTACCCAGCAGTAAATAAGATTCGGGTTGTTAATTGATTGGCGGATCGCTTTTCCAGGATAATAATTCATTAAAAAAAAGCTGGTCACTCAATCACGACTGTTTGGGGGACACTGCTGTGCGCAATTGGCTGCCATGTTTCTCCTACAAATATAGTCGATTCACTTTTCTGTGAAGCGCTTTGAGACGTCTCAAATGCAAGGATTATTCTCATTATATGAGAATTCACTCCATTTGTATCCAATATTATTTTGTAAAACATTTTATGAAAATTATTATATAATTGCAAGTTATTATCATAACTATCACAAGGAACAAAAAAGGTCCATCTATTAAAATACACTTAAAGATTAAATGCAGATATAAATTTCTGGTTGCAGTCAAGTGCACAGTAAACTGAAATATAATTATATACAGTAACATTTTGAAATTCATCTGAAAACACTTAGGATTACCACTCAGCTGGATAATTCATGCTATGAAAGCCTTTTTTGCCCAGAGCTATACCCCCACCCCCAACCCCACTGCTGACTTACAGGAACATTGCCTAGACTGCAACATGGTGTCTGGTGCTGCACCCCGCTGATGACTCCTTGCCTGATCATTTAAACCAGGTGGCCCAACCTGTTGGCTGGGCGGGCTAGATTCCCTATTTGAGAAAGGTCCACGGCTGCATCCAGCCCAAGACCATTTCCAACTTCCACTCCCTCCCTCCCTCCCTGGTAAACGTCCTCCCAGGGCAGCGGCAGGAGCCGGCAGTTGCGTGGACTCAGTGCCCAGAGCCTTTACTGCAGTTTGTCAGGAAGACAAACTCATCTCTTACCAACCATGTCCTGAGCAACCAACCGCCGGCTCCTACCACACTTCGAAGAGAGAGAGTAGGGGAGAAAGAGAGGAGGGAGAGGGGGAGAGAGGGGGGAAGAGAGGAGGGAGATGAAGAGTGGGGGAGGGAGAGGGGGGAGAAAGGGGAGTGGGGCAGAGAAAACATTCTCTCCTATCTCTCCCTTTATACCCCCTCTCGCTCACAGACTGTCTCTCTGAATTACTCTCTCACTCCATTTCTCACATCCTCTCAACCCTCTCACAATCCACCTCCCCTCCTCTTTTTCACTCTCTCTCCTCTCAACTACTCTCTCACTCCCCTTTTCACCCTCTTCTCTCTCACTCTCTTGTCAATTATCTCATTCCCCTTCTCTCCCACACACACTCTCTAACCTCTCTCAAACTCTCAATATCCCACTTTCTCTCTATTTCTTTCTCTCCACCCTCCCTCACATACACTCCCACCCCCTCACACTCTCTCTCTATCTCTCTGCTCTCAAACACTTTCTCATAGTCTTTGTCTCTCATTCTTTTTCTTACCTCTCTCACAAATATACTCTTTCTCCCCATCTCTCTCTTCCCCTCCGCCCTCTCTACCCACCTCCCCACCCCCTCTCTCCCCGCTCCTCTCTCTCTACCTTCCCTTCTCTTCCCCCTCTCAATCCCTCTCTCTCTCAATCAGCCTCTGCAGTGGCCGCTGCTAAAGACGTGGTTGGTAAGAGACCGCTTCCTTTCCAGACAGACCACAGTAACGGCTGGTATTATTTCCACTCTCCACGCTGCGTCCTCCCAACCACCGGCTCTTGTCACTGCCCTGGGAAGATGTTCACCAGGGAGGGAGGGAGCGGAAGTTGGGATGTTGGAAATGGCCTTGGGACAGATAAAATCACCCACCGAGTCAGTTGGACTATGCTGATGTAAACCACCAAACTGAATGAAAGGAAAGGAGCAAATTCCTTGTCTCTTTTAAAAAAGAACTTTCCAATGGCAGGAGTTGGCTTTCTTCAGTAGCCAGTAGTAAGCAACCTGCAGTGGAGTCCTGTAGCTCAGTGGTTAGAGCACTCGCTTTGCAAGTGAGAGACCTGAGTTCAATTCCAGGCAGAGGGCGAAACCTTGGGCAAGTTTCCTTACTCCACACAGAGCTTAATAATAATACCTCCAAAAACCCAAAACAATAATAAATTGGTCATTTTCAATCTACGACTGTTTGTGGGACATTGCTGTGCGCAATTGGCTGGCGCGTTCGCCCACAAATATATAGTCAATTCACTTTACAGTGTGTTCTGTGAAGCATTTTGGGACGTCCTCCCAACGTGAAAAGCGCTATATCAAATGCAAGGATTATTAAGGAATATGATTATTATTACTACAATCAGACTACTTTAGGGGGAGGCAGGAACTCTTCCCGTTCGGCTCTTGATAACCCTGTACACCACAGACTGAGTAGGTAAGCTGCTTTTTGATGGATCAGCAGCAGGAAGTTGGCCAGACAGTGATATCAATAATATAATAATACTCCTTGCATTTGATATATCACATACTTCTCAAAGAAAACTTCTCAAAGCACTTCACAGAATATACTGTAAAGTGAATTGACTGTACATTTTTTATGAGCAAAATGCGGCAGCCAATTGCGTACAGCAATGTCCCACAAACAGTCGTGGATTGAGTGATCAAATTATTATTTTTTTAAAAAATTTAAAAAGGGATTATTACCCCCGGAAAAGTGATCCGCCAATCGATCGACAACCGGGTCCTATTTATTACTAGATGAACAGAGATGTATGGAGTAAGCAAACTTGTCCAATGTTGCGCCCTGCCTGGGAATCAAGCCCAGGTCTCTCGCTTGCAAATGCTCTAACCACTAAGCTACAGGACTCCACTATCAATATCATATCAATGACAAGCTTTACGGTTGCAGCTGATTAATCTCCAGCAGTTACTCCAATGAACACTGTTTCTGAGGAAGTTGCCCAAAAGTACAATTGAAAAGATTCTTTGGAGTGGTAGGATAAAAGGGTGCAAGGCAAATGGAATTTGTAAGAGTTTTAAAAAATACATAGAGACAGAAAACCTCGCTACCGAGGGAATCAGGAACCACCAGAAGACGTGAGCTGCAGGACGATTGATCTTGATCTATGTTTTATCAGCTGATCTCAGCCACATCAACAGTTGGCCTCCGTGCCCTCAGGGTGTTGGGAAAAGCAAAAGCTCCCCTGATCCTGATTGCTATTCCTTAATCAGCATTTTTGGGAAAATCCTTAAATTTGTTACAATGTTTTTGACTCCTGACTTGTGATCAGACTTGCCAGCAGCAGACTGTGTGGATGTCACAGTCAGCTCATTTGTGAAAGCACCCCAGTGTTTGACGAGGGGAAGACATTTGTAAAGTGACTTTACCATCTACCAGTGGATTCTGACGTTATTCTCTCTTCAATTGGACAGATCTGCACAAAAGGCAGATATCTTCCTCACTCCTCCAAAGTGATGGATGGTGTGGGGAGAGAAGGATTATTCCTGTTCATACTTGAACCACAGCGATTCTTATCCAGTTCCTGGCTACAGGCATTCTGTTCTTTTCAAGTTTTAAATAATTACACAAGCCGATAATGATTATGAGGAAATGCTTTCAACCGAAAACTTCTATCAAAGAGTAATTTCAAATGTTGCAACTATTTTATCTACAAAAATTCCATTCCCACACAATTTCTGCTCAAACATTATTTAAAGTTTACTTTTAACTTTTTTTTAAAAAAGTACCATTAAATGTTGTGCATTGAGTACAATAAAATGTTGTGCATTAAAGGAGGAGATTTGTTAGCAAGGACCTCTTTTAAGAGGGATCTTTGCTGTAATGTCAGAAATCGCTGGGAACACTCAACAACAACCGAAACGTTGACTCACTTTCCTTTCTCCATAGAAGCTGCCTGACCTACTGAGTGTTCCCAGCGACTTTGGTTTTTGTTTCAGATTTCCAGCATCTGCAGTATTTTGCATCTTTGCTACCATTAGGGCTTCCTTCAATGTGGGCATCTCGGCATGAGGACCCCCCCTTTAATTATAAAATAATCCTTGCATTTGATATAGCGCCTTATCACATCATTGAGACGTCTCAAAGCGCTTCACAAGATATACTGCAAAGTGAATTAACTGTGTATTTTGTGGGCGAAAAAAAGAGTCTCACTATAAGTACCCTCTTCAGTGTAGTCTCAACAATTAGAAATGGTCTGGCTCTCTTAGGACCTGATTTAAAGACCTGATTTAAAGAGAAATGATACTTTTGGGCATTCAGCATTCAGAAATTTACAGCACAGAAGAAGGCCATTCAGCCCATCGTTTGATCTTAAGATTTCAAAGCTTAGCCAAGATACAGAAATCTGGATAAGCTGGAGCTTGTGAACAACTGAACGAGGAAGGCTGGCAAGGAGAGCATTGGAAAAATCCCTTCTCAAAAAAAATAAAATAAATAATAATTTGGTCACTTAATCCATGACTGTTTGTGGGACACTGCTGGGCGCAAATGGCTGCCGTGTTTCGTCCACAAAATATAGTCAATTCATTGCACAGTATATTCTTGTGAAGCCCTTTGAGACATCTAGAAGACGTGATAAGGCGCTATATCAAATGCAAGGATTATTATTGTTATATCAAAACCTGATGGTGACAAAGCATTAATGAGAGGTTTGATTGCATTGGGAATGAGAGAGGAGGGGCAGAGACTGCAGCTACCTCTGTCACTGTGAGTATCAAGGCCAATGGAATGCTGTTCATTTTTAAAGGCAAATCATAAGACATCTCTTAGTGTTACCTCACCTACTGTTGTGGAGGTTCATCTGGGATGTTGGTGGAGACACAGGACTCTTCCAGTCCCTTTGAGCGATAGCCTCAGATGCTTGTTCCTGCTGGAGCTTAAAGAAGGCAATATTGTTTATAACCATTTGATTTTCATTTGATTTTCACTTGAATGCAACAAGCTGCAAATAGTGCTGCAAGTGTTCAGTGCTACTTCAGAAGGGCACCTCGTGATTCCAGTCTGCCAATGAACAAACTTAAATGTTTGCTGCACTCCTTTACATATGTGTTGTAATCTTTAATGGGACACAACACAACTTCAGAAAAACAACTTGTATTTATATGGCACCCGTCACATGGTAAGGTCTCGGAATGCTTAACAAGGGAGATCGGCTCTTTTGATCCTACCCTTCCAGAATGAACTTCCGTCCTTTTTTCTTCCCCTTCCAAATCAAATTGGCTCTTAACAGTCCAGTGTCCTGGTGTTAAAATCCCTTCCTGGTAATACCAGCTGTTACTTATACTCTTTGTGAAAAAACACATACTGTCCTGTCTGTCTAAAGTTGTCTTATACACCCATTCTCTCTGGCTCTGTGTGGTCTCTCTGTGCCCATTCTCTCTGTGCCCAGTCTCTCTATGCCCAATCTCTCTGGCTCTGCTCAGTCTCTCTATGCCCAATCTCTCTGGCTCTGCCCAGTCTCTCTGTGCCCAATCTCTCTGGCTCTGCCCAGTCTCTCTGGCTCTCTGTCACATCACCACCCACATCAGTAAAAGGGAAATGAACCTCTCTCAATATCTGACACCTTTTCGCAGTGATTTTGTGGAGTCCTGTAGCTTAGTGGTTAGAGCGCTCGCTTTGCAAGCGAGAGGACCTGGGTTCGATTCCCGGTCAGGGCGAAACGTTGGGCAAGTTTCCTTACTTCACACGCCTCTGTTTACCAGCAGTAAATAGGAACCCAGTTGTTAGTCGTTTAGCGGATCGCATTTCCGGGGGTAATAAACGCTTCAAAAAAAAAGTAATGATAATGTGATCCCTCAATCCATGGCTGTTTGTGGGACACTGCTGTGGGCAATTGGCTGCCGCGTTTCACCCACAAAATATACAGTCACAACAGCATATTCTGTGAAGCGCTTTGAGACGTCCCGAAAACGTGATAAGGTGCTATATCAAATGCAAGGATTATTATTATTATTATTCTTCCATCTCTAAATCTGGCGACTAAAAAAAAAGCTTGTTTTAAATGCAATAAGGCAGATGACTTATTTTTAGGCAAAAGACAAGAGGTGAATAAATGAAACCGTATGCTATGGACTGTCTTATATAGCTTGGTTTACCAAAGCAGATTCTATTATCTGAACCATATTAACTGGTTTAACAAGCAAGACTATGATATCACTTCCTTCATCAGAGCCACAATATTTTATATTTATTTATAATATAACTTGTTTCTTATTTTTCTATTTACTACCCTGTCTTTTCTTTACATCACTTACTTCCATAGAAAATATCTGTCTACCTTTTAAATAAATCAATCAATGCTGCTTTTGCAAATCTTTGGGGAATAATTTCCAAATTCTCTCAGCCAACCCAAGTGCAAAATCCTTGTGGACCTTTCGCTTAGATGATGTATCGTAGCTACTCTATTCAGCAGACCTGCCACAATACAGTAAAAGGAAAACTTAGCCATTAAGTTCAAAAGAAAAGCTACAAACCATATAACATAAAGAACAACAAATGTCTGTCAGTGGCTCCTAGCTGGAATTCAGGTTCGCAGTTCTGTTGACATTCACAAACCTCTCGAGAACTGCTCTTAGGTTATGAAGTCACCGACAGAAGTCACCGTCAGTCGATTGAATTATTGCCTCGTAACTTCAAACCCCTCTGGTCTACTCCTTCCTATCTCTATGACCTGCTAACACCATATCAATCTGTCTTCTCCCTCTCCACGGCCCCCGCCCTAGCATTGGTGGTCGGGCCTTCAGGCTCTCTGTCATCACTTTTTGAAACTCCGTCCCACAGTCCTTTCGCCTCGCTCCCCCCTTGCTTCCTTTAAGACCCGTCTCAAGACCCTCCTCTTCGACCACACGTTCAGCCACCCTACTACCTCTACCCTCCCTGTCCTCCACCCCTCCTGATACCAACCCCCTGCTCGGGTCCAAATCTCTGACTGGCCAGCACCTTGGGACGTCCCAACATGTAAGTCGTTGTACAAATGTAATATGTTGTTGTTGTCGTAACTTGCCGCCAGCCTTCTATTACCATGATATTCATTATATTCCCTGACTGATCTGGTCAGAAAGGACCAAAAGGTTTGCGTGATTTAGATTGGGAAGATGGGTCAATAATTAATCCATTTGTTGCCAATTTACAACTTATTTCCATATACGAAATATGCAGTATTTTTTAAAGCAAATCCAAGTCATGCCAATGGGGCTTCTTCTGCTAACCCGAAATATGTTACACCAACTTGAAAATCTGCTCCAACACAATCTATTTTTGGAAAAGGAAAAATGTTATTAAGAAGCACTGCAGGTTAGATCCTTTTTAAAGTTGCTTGGATATAATTTGTGATTAGAAAACGATTCTGAAGTGCTGATCAATGAGTTGCCATGACTGAAGTTTAATCACACACTCCTGGAGGCAGCACCGCTGTGTGCGAGTGCAATGCTCTTCCACTATTGAGTGAGTCCCAGAGGAAGCTAGCAGGTCTTTGAAGCCATCTCTCACCTGAGGGAATACATTTCAAAGAGACAAACAACAGGAATGCAACACAAGAACCATCTCAAAGCACTTCACAAAGTGGGAATAATTAGAAATGAAGTGAATGACATTATGTAGGGAAACCACACAGCGAATTAGTGTTTGCAATATCTTACAAACAGCACAAAGCTAATGATGAGGCAAACCACGAGAGTAGAACAAAGTATTTTCAGTGCATTATAAAAAGTATCTTCGATCTAAAATCCTGCTGTTGATTTTGACCAGAGATTATTAGTAGCTTGGTACAAAACCGTATTATGTATCCTGTAGGCACACTGAAAGCTCTGCAAAATTGTTCCTTTTCCTGGTCCATTAGGTGACAGAATAAAACTGAAATTGCAATGGTCTTCAATCACTGAGTTCCGTAGTAAAAATTTTACTACATTTCCATAAAATGATGGCACAGAGTATGACTAAAAATACTGCTTAAATTGTTTGCTAATAATAGGGTTCTCTGGACAAATGCATTGCATGATGTGGCACTGAGCCATATTATCCTGGAAGGTCCCTGGTATATGCTGAGTTTGTCTACCTGACTCCAGCATGGATAATGCACTGTCACCCTCAGTCCAGGGAGGAGAAACACTGGCCCCTGCTTCCACTTCTGATTACCACTGAATAATGTCTTCCAGAAGTCTACATGTGTAGACAGGGTTGGGCTAGACTAAAATAGACTTTGTGGTTGAGCAGCCCACTGATGCTCACAAATAAGAAAATGACTAGTTGGGCAAGGCAATGGAGAGTTCACAGCTATGGTAACAGACTCAATGCAGTTCATTACAGGATTTAGTGAAATAGTTCATATTCCCAAACTGAAAAGAGTAATTTGGGCACTTTAATCCTGATACCAACTTTATACAAAGAGTCAGGAGAATATGAATGAGACTGCCTCAGAAGGCCAACGATACAGTCAGTCGAACAGAGAGATCATGGAAATTTATAGCACACAAGGCCATTTGATCTATCGAGTTTGCATTAGCTCTTAGAGCAAGAGGTTCATTCAATCCCACTGCCCTGTTTTAGCCTCAAACCTCTTCAGCCTCTATCTTTATGTCTACTTCCCTCTTAAAACAATGCACAATGGACTCTGCCTCTACCAACAACAAGATTACCCTCTACCACGTTACTTGTCAGAGCATTCCACATCACAACAACTCTCAACATCCCACTGAGTTGGACACAAAACAAATTTAGGAAGTCTGTGACCTTTTTATTCCTACACAATGTCTTTGAAGCCTTGGTGTTCTGTGCCATCCCAGTTATCAGCTGGAACACCAATGAATTATAGAATGTTACAGTGCGGAAACATCCAATTTAACCCATCAAGTCTGTGCTGGTGTTTTTCACCATATGAGAACTGTTGAGCACCTTTCATTTAGTCTTCTCTCTCTTTGGTACATTTCTAGTTAACTACTGCCATGTGTTCTGGGTGGCCTGGTGTTGAACACAGCAGCTAATTTCTGTATAATTACGGTCTCGTTTTCTTACTAACTTTAATTGAAATACATTGAGTACTATGGTGTGGCTCGGTTAGATGAAGCACACTGCATTAGCTGAAGCACACTAAAGAGAATCAGCACCATGTCTCCCAATAGCAGCTGCTATCTCAGCTGAAATCACATTTTGCTTGATGCATGTTTCAATACAATACAAAATTACATTTGTATAGCGCCTTTTACATCGGGAGGACTTCCCAAGACGCTGGACAGTCAGGGATTTGGACCCAAGCTGGGGGTTGGGATCAGGGACGGAGGAGGGCAGGGAGGGTGCCAAAGCCTCGGTTGAAGAGAAGGGTTTCTGAGACGTGCCTTGAAAGAGGCAAGGGTGGGAGCAAGGTGCAGGGAATGTGGGATGGAGTTCCAAAGGGTGGGGACAGAGAGGCTGAAAGCCCGACCGCCGATGGTAGGGCGGGTCTGGTGGGGGTCGTTGAGCAGAGGGAAAGGAGAGGTTGGTATTGGGTTAATAGGGCCTTGAAGGCGAGGACGAGGATTTTGAACTCTATCCTCTGAGGAATGGGGAACCAGTGGAGGTGAGCGAGGGTGGGGGTGAAAGGGTCATCGTGCAGGAGAGGACATGAGTTGCAGAGTTCTGTACGATCTGCAGCTTATGGAATGAAGAGTTGGGAAGGCCAACAAGCAGGAAGTTAGCGTAGTCGAGCCGAGATTTGATGAATGCGTGGATGAGGGTTTCGGTGGCCTGAGGGGTAGGCAGTAGTGGAGCCAGAGCGGATCAAGGCACGGGTGTGGGATAGAAAGTACAGTTAAGGCTCAAACAAGACTCCCAAAAGCCCTGTTCACAGATTAGCTCAGTGAGGTGGAGTGTGCATCCATGGATGGTGATGCTGCCAGTGTCTGAGGTGTGAGGTGCTGACAGAAGCCAAGCAGGAGAGCCTGTCAGGAGTTCCAAAGTTCCTTGCTGTGGGCAGCACAGAAACCCGATTGGATGGGATCGTAAAGGGAGCAGCAGGAGAGGAAGGAGTGAAGCTGGGAAGCAACAACTCTTTCCAGAACCTTGGAAAGGAAAGGGAAGTTGGAGATGGGGTGGTAATAATTACACATAATACATCCAAGGTGCTTTATTTCATTGTATCTAACTGGTACAACCTTCTATTATTGGCACAATGTTGTAGGGTGATAACAACAACAAGAACTTGCATTCATATAGCACCCTTAACGCAGGCTAGCGTCCCAGAGCCCTTATACTCTGAACACAGTATTGCAGAAGCATATGATATGAGTTGAAACATACGTAAGAATGGGCTCTGAGACGCCTTCCAGTGTGGAGGGCGCTATATAAATCCAAGTTGTTGTTGTTGTTGTTGGCTATTCAGATCATCGAGCCTGCTCTATCATTTAGTCTATGCCAACTTTTTAATTCCATTTCCTCCCCCACCTTTTCTCCATATTCCTTAATATGCCAAGTATCTAGTTTAGTGGCAGATATAGTTTAATGAAGCNAAAAATTAGATGATTAATTTTTGTAGAAATTACAAGGGAATGAATGGCAGTAGCATGCAAATCATTGCTTCCCAGCTTCGCTCCTTTCAAATCATTGGTTAGGCCATAACTGTAATTTTGGGCTCCTTGCTTCAGGAAAGATGATAAGGCCTTGGAGGGGCCTGAGAGGAGATTAACAAGAATAATATCAAGGGACAAGGGGCTTTAGTTATCAGGAGACATTGGAAAAGTTGGGTCTATTTTCAATGCAGCAGAGAAGATTCGAGGGTTATTATTATTATTATTATTATCATTATCTGATGCCGGTATTTTGAAAGGAATTAGATTCTCTGTAGAAACAGAGAATCTAATTCTATTGGAAGACTAGATTCCATTGTTATAAGATAGCCCTGAAGCTCAGTGGTTAGAGCACTCGCCTTGCAAGCGAGAGACCTGGGTTCGATTCCCAGCAGGGCGAAAACTTGGGCAAGTTTCCTTACTCCACACACCTAATAATAATCCATCAAGAAAAAAAAACAATAAAATTGGTCACTTCAATCCACGACTGTTTGTGGGATCCTGCTGTGCGCAATTGGCTGCCGTGTTTTGCCCACAAAAATACAGTCAACTCACTTTACAGTATACTCTGTGAAGCACTTTGAGACGTCTAGAAGACGTGAAAAAGCGCTATATCAAAATGCAAGAATTATTATTATAGCCAAAATGAATCTGTATCTAATTTTCCACTGGCTAGCTGTGAGTACATATCTGATTCCCTAATGTCCAACAGTGAGTATGTATCTAATTCCATAGAATCGAGCAGTAGGTATCCATTACAGGTTTAGCTTTCAAAAGGGAACAAGTTAGATATTTATAAAGGAGTACACCACAGAATATGGGAAAAAGGCAGGTAAGTGGTGTTGAAAAGATTGCTCTTTAAAAGACCCAGGGTATATGCGGTATCCCAATTGCTGCCTTCTTTGTGGGTAAATGTCTATGTTCTACGGCTGTCTAATGGAGCCTTCCCTAATTCTTATTATTTGTTAAATTTGTTTTTTACACCTACAATTTGATTCAGGCCAGATTCTACTCCAAATGGAACAGCTAATGCTTAACTCACACTTCTTACTGAAATAGATTAGCATTGTGACCCTGTAATTTGATGACCTATTATCATAAACACTGCATCAGCCTACAAGTCAGATAGGAACCTTTGTGGTTCTTCAGACATTTTTATTAAGTCTGTTTTTGTCTCTGACCACCCACAGTTTAATCACATGTATTGTGGTTAGTAACAGGCATGTGCCAGGTGCCTCATATCTGTATTACTTGTAAATCATTTCATATTAATCATTGAACAAAATTTAGAGACTAGTTGGGTGAAAAGTCATGTTTACAAACACAACGTGACAACAAGTAAACATTGTGCAGGGTTTCACATGCTGAACCCGTCAGTCAATGCTTTATGTAAATTCTTACATTATTTAATTAACAATTTATACAGGTTAAGCGTCTTCTGCTTAGTTTTATGATGTTCTTTAAAGTCTTTCCCTATTTAAATCCCACAGATACTGTCCCCTTGACTAGAGGAAGAATGGCAGATCTAATAATAATAATAGTAATCTTTGCATTTGATATAGCGCTTATCAAGCCTTCAAGATGTGTAAAAAGTGCTTCACAGAATATGCGATGAAGTGTAGTGACTGTGTTTTGTGGGTGAAACGCGACAGCCAATTGCATAACTGTCCCAGAAACAGTCATGGATTGAGTGACCAAATGTTTCTTTTAAGAGATTATTACCTCTGGAAAAGCGATCTGCCAATCGACTAACAACCGGGTTCCTATTTACTGCTAGGTAAACAGAGGCGTGTGTAGTAAGGAAACTTGCCTAACGTTTCACCCTGCCCGAGAATCGAACCCAGGCTTGCGAGGCGAGCGCTCTAACCTCTATGTTACAGACCTGTTAGTGGTTAACTAGTTAACTGGTTAACTAGTATTAGCTACAATAGGGTGGAACATGGACTTCTCTGCCACAAAGCATGATTTTCTTTAATAAAGATATACTTAAATACACTATGCAGAAACTATGAGCCAAACAGCCTGTTTCTGAGCTGTATCATTCCATGATAAGGAGGTAATTTCAGATGGCTTGAATTAAGCAGTTTATTAATCTTTCCTCCCCACTCATGCAGGACATCATGACTTCCTTTCCCTGGCTTTATTTGAGATCAGAGACTCAGCAGGTCTAATTGATGCTGATAGTTAAAATTTGCAATTGTTTTCTCTTTAATGGGAAGTTCTAAGATGGTTATTTTTGGCTACCAGCTTGAATTAAATCACCACTCGTGGAGAGTTGTTGACATTAACTTGCTTGTACCTAAATGCAGTCACAGATACCTGCATAATGTGTTCTATGGGTTCGAGGGCTAGATTCCATTTGGTAAATACAGTATCTTGAATATGAACCAGTACACTTATAAATTAACTCTAACACATGAAATATATTTCAAATTTACATCTTTAATGTAATGGAATTTGTACTTTACAATTATATTTGAGTTATTTATAAGTGCAAAGAGTCAAATTAAAAATGCAACTAAAAGTCAAATGAAAAGTGATTTTTTCCCCCATAACTTAAAAGCAAATTAGTGGTGTAAACCACAAGTGACAGTAAGTGCAGAGACTTCTTGTTTGTGATCTTTGCCCTTAGACCCTCCTTGTGAATGCACAACTGTATTGGATAAAGATTATGGCCAGGATTAATATATAATATTGCATTTGTTACATATGCATAAGGGATTTTGCTGAAAAATGTTACCTGGAGCTTTGTTGCCTCTTCAGACCACCAGACCTCGAAATCCTTCTGCATCTTCATCTTAGCCTTTCCCAGCAGCAGCTGCAAATGTTCAATCTCGGTCTTCAGCCCTTTCAGTCGGGTAAACATCTTCTTGTAACTGATCAACAATTAAAAGCAAACTTGTCACATTGCAATAACAACAACCACTTTATATAGCGCTCTGTAAATAATTGGGATTATATTATAAGAATCATTATTATTGATCATGCAGTGAATAGATGAATTAAGTAGAATGAATTAAAGAAATAAAAACTGCCATGTGACACACACAGTCCTAGTAAACAGGCACCGAGCTAGGAGTACAAGGGCATGTGACCCATGGCCAGGGAAGATCAGGATAGCTGGATCTAGAGATTGGATGGCCATCTGCGCTTACAAGGGCATGTGACTTACAGGCAGGAGAGATAGGAACCTGGGATAATGGACCAGGAGAATGGATGGGATACAAACTAGCAAATAAAATTGAGGAAAAACTTAAAGTGAGTAGGTCCCATGGACAGAGTTAGAAAAAGGACTGAAACTTCAGGGGCACAGAGTCAGGTGGTTTGGTCAGGCTAGATAAGATGGAATAAGAGGAGTATTGTTCTCTTGCAGAAGATACCGCGTGCGCACTATGGCTGCCGCTTTGACCCGAGCCCCCTCAACCCCTCCCTCCTCTCTACCCCCAAACCCTCCCCCTTCTGCATCTCTCCCGCTCTGTCCTCCTCTCTCTCCGTCCCTCTCGCCTTCTACTTACTGCTAGGTAAAGAGAGGCGTGTGGAGTAAATAAACTTGCCCAACATTTCTAGTCACTCAACTCCCCCTCCTCTGCACAATCAACCACTGTCAAGCGCTCCGGGACGTTACCACAATGAAGGGCGCTGTATAAATGCAGGTGGCTGTTGTAGCAAGCAATGCTTAATAGAAATGGAAACAGTACTCTTTCAAAGTGTTCTGTTTTACTGATCAAGGCAATAATTCCTCCACAGTGGAAAATAGTCCATGATCTATTTAAATCTACAAGCTTCAAGCACTCACAACGTTCTTCACGTCACAAAGCCCTTCTTGGCATTCATCCAAGACACACAATTCACTTTTTTAAAATAATTGATGCTACAACCTGCTCACTAAAAACTGGTGTGTGTGCCCTATGCTTAAACTTTGTGCTGCTTCAACAGACAGAGAAAACAATTTGTAGAAATTGCTCAGGTCACAGCTATAAACAAAGCACTCCTTTCTTCTCTGCAAAGACTCTTTTAGTTCTGCTGGGGCCTATTCTATATTTTTCTTTTGCACAGCAATTTCCTGATTTCCAGTGTCCTGAATCCTTGAACTGATTCCAAAATTTGGGCAATTGAGTCTTCAAGCACACGTTAGATACATCACTGCCAGTAATAAAGGACCACTTCTTCCTAACTTGCTTTATACTGGTGTAATACTGGGGGAGTGCCGCATTACTGGAAGTGTCATCCTTTGGATGAGAAGTTAAACCAAGGTCCCACCTGTTTGTTCCTCACATGGACATTCAAGATCCCTTGACACTATTCAACAACAAAAGGGAGTTTTTGCTGGTGCTTGCCAACAATCCTGTTCACCTCTTCATCTCCAACTCTTCAGTGTTTTCTTAGCTGCTTTCTTGCTGTGTATGAACCATTATGATCTGTTACGACTCATCTCCAAACTCTGCTTAACTTTACATCAAAAGCAAAGGTGAATACCATTTATTTTGGTGGTCAACTGATACAACAGCTTTTGACAATGAAAAGCTGAATTGGGCAAGGTTTTTAACAAAACGTTCTACTCACTATCTGATAACTAACTTACAAAATACTTCCAGCACTGGCATGATTTTAAATCAAAGCAACTGCTTCGAAATATATCATTTTAAGTTAAAGTTTATTAAATCTAAGTCTCACTCAACCCAGCTGAATGAAAGCCTTTGTTTTACCTAGTTATGTGCTTAAGAACAAAATCCTGAACAGTACTTTCACGTATTCTTAGGCAGCAAGACAGCAAAGCACAGGTTCAAGGTTCTGAAGGACCAGTTTATGACAGACATCAAGAATTGTTTCTTTGCATTAAGGGCAATCAAAAACTGGAATATGTTAATGAGAACAGTTGTCAAAACCAGGACATTGGACTCATTTAAGAACCCTTGATGTTATGGTAGGAAGTCAGTAGGATTGGTAATTTGGAAGAATGTGATCAAATTTTGTATAGTCTATATATTGAATAATAAAGATTAAGAAATAATAATAAGAATAATCCTTGCATTTGATATAGCGCTTTTCACGTCTTCTAGACATTTCAAAGCACTTCACAGAATAGACTGTATTTCTTTAATATAAAAATATAGCATTTCTTTAATATAAAAAATATGAAAATGCAAATGTAGTGTAACAGACTTTGGGTCTAGCATTGTAATGACCAACTGCAGTGTATATGAGAAGGGTGGCTGGAGCCTGGGTGGTATAAAGACATAAACCAATCTAGTCCCCAATCTCTCTTACTCTGGGAATGGATGAAGAAAGTCTCTGGCCCTTAGTGTTAGAAAGAACAAAGGCAGCCTGAGAAGCCTGGAAACAGATCTGTGACTATTATGCATGGTGTTTGAGAGACTGTGAGTATCTGAATGCGGATTGGAATTTGTGATTAAGGGGGAGGCATAGCGGGTATGCAAGTACACTGAACACATACCCGGGCACCTCTAACCCCCAACTTTCCTCCACCACCTCCCCCTCCCCAGGTCTACAGTGTCTGCCAAGGATACCTGGATGCCTTCTCCCCAGGATAATAAACCTTGAGTAAAGAGCCAACTCTATCTCCACATGCATTTGGTTTCTGCCTGGTCTGATAGAGGAGGGGAGTTAGAGTAGGACTAATAAAAATAATATGAACCATTCCTGAGACAACAGCTTTATAATTGCTTTTATACTGAATCATGGATTTTTATATGTTCTCCTTATGTCATCTTCCAGGTCAGAGGATTCCAATGTAATAGCTTGTAATACTAATTATAGCCAATTTGGCGCTAATGACTTGTTTATGTTAGAAGTAGGATTTCAACAGCTTAAACACAAGTTAACCCAGGACTCCTACTGTTGACAGAAGAGGAAACATTTATCCCAAAAGTTATCAGATGAATTTGAACTAAAATTCCAGAGGTGAATGGACAGAATTCAAACCCACTACATCACTTAAATCTGTCTCTATGTGTATTTCAATAATCCAAATGTTTGCATTCCAAAGATTTAAAAGTTTTGAAAGAAAAAAACAATTTATTTCCAAAAAAAATCGACAACACAGGCAACCCAGTACGACTGCTGCTACAGTACAACTAGCAATCAGTAGTACCACACTGGGGATTATTTTACTATCCGACAGACACATGCTCCACAACACCTTGGCTTTTTGAGAAGCATATTCTTAAAATCATAATTTCACTGCTTGTCACAACAACAACCGGCACTTATATAGCGCTCTCCACGCAGGGTAGGGTCTTAGAGCACTTAACCTCCCCCAGGGCTCACATCAGGGCCCACCATGGTCCTGTTGGGTTGGCTGCCCCAGCCCCAGCCCATGGGATAATGTTTCCATCCACCTGACCGCTCGCTCCTGGTCCCCGCGTGCGCACTATGGCTGCCGCTATGACCCATGCCCCCTCACCCTCTCCCTCCCTCCTCTCTACTCCCAAACCCTCCCCCCCTGCATCTCTCCCACTCTCTCCTCCTCTCTCTCCGTCCCTCTCACCTTCTATCCCCACTTGACCCTTCTACAACCTCCCTCTGTTCCATCCTGGGAATCCTCCGCCCGCCGGGCTCACCGTGGCACTCGCGCGTTGGCTGTCCAGCAGCAGCCACACTGACTGCCCCATTCCCCACCACACTCGCCACCCACCCCGGACACAGACCCGGGGAGCCAACCTCCCCTCCCTCATCCCCATTTCCCCCACCCCTGCCTCACAACCTGGACACCCCTCCCCTCCCACACACCCTTCTGTCAACCGCTCCCTCCACATCGGACTGCAAAACGTCCGCTCCCTCTGTAACAAGGCCCTGGTCATCAACGATCTCATCCTTGATGAGAGCATTGACATCATGGCCTTAACGGAAACCTGGCTCACCCCAGGCGACACCTTCCCCCTCACGGAGGCCACACCACCCGGCTACACCTCCCAGCACATCCCTCGCCCCAACCGCTGTGGTGGTGGTGTAGCCCTTATCTTAAGGACACCACTTGCCTTATCCCCCTACTCCTCTGGCTCTTTCCCCTCTTTCGAGCACCTCACCCTCTCCCACCCCTCCTTCCTCTCACTCAAAATCCTCCTCCTCTACCGGCCCCCTAAAGCCTCTCCCACCTTCATCTCCGATATTTCGTCACTTCTTACATCTCTCTGCCTCTGCTCTGATCACCTCATCATCCTGGGCGACTTCAACCTACACTTCACCCCCTCCTGCTCCATCTCCTCAGACTTCTCTTCCCTGCTCTCCTCGCTCAACCTCTCCCTCCACATCAACTCCCCCACTCGCAGTCACGGCCACCCACTCGACTTGGTGATCACCCTCAGTGTCTCGGATGTCACTATCACCGTCAAGGCCGTCTCCGACCACCACTTCATCTCCTTCACCACTTCCACCCCCCTCCCCACCCCACCATACCCACCACCATCTTCTACCGCCCCTGGAAGAAGTTACCCCTTCAATCCCTAACCGCTGCCTTGGAGTCCTCTGAACTCCTCTCCCTCTGGCCTTCAACCCTCACTGACCCTTCTCCTCTCACCCTCCTCCACAACGCCCTCTCCTCCACACTCGGTACTCTTGCCCCCATCACCTCCCGTACTGTCTCCTACTCCCGCTCCTCCCCCTGGTACACCACCCACCTCCGCTCACTGAAGAGCCAGGTGCGGGCCGCTGAACGCACCTGCGTCAAATCTGGCCTAACGGTCCACCGACAAATCTGGCTGGACCTCCTCAAAATCTACCGCTCCACTCTAGCCTCGGCCAAGTCGTCCTTCTACTCCAGGATAATCCTGGAGGCGAAGAACAACCCCAGGCTACTGTTTTCTACCACATCCCGACTCCTCCGTCCCCCCGCCACCCCGCGCAGGTCATCTCCTCCAACCTTCACTGCGAGGAGATGCTGGATTTCCTTGAATCCAAATCAAGGGAATTCGCTCCGCGGTCACTTCCCCTCCAACATCCACCCACACCCCACCCCCTCCCTCCCACACTCCGACTCCTACCCATCCTCCCCTACACACTTTCGTACCCGTTTCCCCACCCTCTGTCACCAAACTCATCCTATCCCTGAAACCCACCACCTGCTCCCTTGACCCCATCCCCACTCCACTCCTTATCTCCCAGCTCCACCTCCTTGCCCCACATATCACAGACATCGTCAACCTGTCCCTCTCCTCTGGCTCTGTTCCCATTCCCTTAAAAACTGCCACCATCACTCCCACCTTGAAAAAACCCTCCCTTGATGCGTCGCAGCTATCAAGCTACCGGCCCATCTCCAACCTCCCCTTCCTGTCCAAGGTCCTGGAACGAGTTGTCGCCTCCCAGCTGCGCTCTTTCCTCTCCACCCATTCATTATTCGAACCCCTTCAGTCGGGTTTCCGTGCTGCCCATAGCACAGAAACTGCCCTGGTCAAGGTCACCAATGCCATCCTGACCATCTGTGACCAGGGCTCCCTCTGCCTCCTCGTCCTCCTCGACCTATCGGCAGCATTCGATACGGTCGACCACGCTATCCTACTCCACCGCTTGTCCTCCCACCTCAACCTTCAAGGCCCTGTCCTTGAGTGGTTTAGGTCGTACCTCTCCCACCGTCTTCACTTTGTTTCCACGAATGGCTTCTCCTCCACCCCCCGCACTGTCTCGTGCGGTGTCCCTCAGGGCTCTGTCCTCGGTCCCCTCCTCTTCACCCTCTATATGCTCCCCCTCGGTGACATCATCCGCAGACATGGGGTTAACTTCCACATGTATGCGGATGACACCCAACTCTACCTTTCCTCCTCTACCCTCAACTCCACGACCCCCGATGTCCTGACAGCTGCCTGTCCGACATCGAGTCCTGGACGAGAGACAACTTTCTTCAGCTCAACGTGCGAAAAACCGAGGCCCTCCTGATTGGCTCACGTCAGCGCCTCCGCACCTCAGGCGCTGACAGCATCAGCATCCAAGGCTGCACTCTCCACCTCTCAAAGCCAGTCAGGAACCTCGGGTTTTGTTCGACACTGAGCTGTCCTTTCCCCCTCATATCCGCGCCACAACTGGCACCGCCTTCTATCACCTCTGGAATATCGCCAGACTACGGCACTACCTCACCCCTCACGCTGCTGAAACTCTGGTCCACGCCTTTGTCACCTCAAGGCTGGACTATGGGAACTCTCTCCTCGCCGGCCTTCCCGCCACCTCCCTCCACAAGCTGCAGGTCATTCAGAACTCTGCAGCTCGTGTACTGTCCCGCACCAGGCTTCGGGACCACATCACACCCACCCTCGCTCGCCTCCACTGGCTCCCCATCCCCCAGAGGATCGAATTCAAGATCCTCACCTACAAGGCCATTCACGGCCTCGCTCCCTCCTATCTCTCTGACCTACTATCCCCCTATCCTCCTGCCTGTACCCTCCGTTCCTCTGGCTCCGGTTTGCTCCACATCCCCCGCCCCAACCGCCCTACCATTGGTGGCCGGGCCTTCAGTCTCTCAGCCCCCAGGCTCTGGAACTCTATCCCCCAATACCTTCGCTGCCTCCTCCCTTTCCTCCTTCAAGGCCAGTCTCAAGACCTTTCTCTTTGACCGTGCCTTCAGCTCCCCTCTCGACTCTCTACCCACTCCTCGCTCCCTCTCTCCCTTCCCTCCCCTCACCCTGACCATTTCCCCCCTGCTCGGGTCCTGACCCAACTGTACAGCGCCTTGGGACGTCCTCCCGACGTGAAAGGCGCTCTATAAATGGAATCTTGTTGTTGTTGTACTACTAGTTGGTAAAAGGAGAAACAAATTGAAGATAGGAAAAGAATGCCTGGGAAAGTGCAGAGAGTGTGAGAAAGAAGTCTCGGGAATGAGTTAGAACGTAGAAAAAAGGGGTATGAAAAAGGGTACAAAAATCGATAGCCAAAACTAGTTGAGAGAGCAAAAGAGAAGAAGAGTAGAGCTGCGGGAAGAGCCACGGGACAAGACTTGGAAGAGCCTCGAGAGGAGACTCGAGAAGAGCCTCTGAGGAATCTCTGGAGAGTCTCTGGAGAGTCTCTGAGGAGCCCCTGAGGAGGAAGGTAGAAAGAGGAGAAAGGGAGAAAGAGAAGAGAAGCGGGTAGAAGGAAAGAGGATAAGTCCAGCTCTTGCCGGAGTGGACCGCAAAGAGGACAAGTTCAGCCTTAGACGTTTGCAGCCAGCACCAAGCCTGAGACAGTGTTTAATTTTTGTGCCAGCCTTAGAACTTTGTCACGACTTCCTGCCTGTTTGGTAGTATCTCTCCTACTTATTAAAACACACACCCAATATACATACAAAACAGTTGGAGATGATTTAGGCACATTTCATATATCACATAATTTTTAAATATATATTTAGAATTTAAGTATTAAGTGCATTTTGTTAAGTAGAAATTTAGTATGCTTTAGTAATGTATCTTGTTAAGATAGTGCTTTAGTAGTCATTTAAGTGCGACGAGTAATGATAATGCATCAGGTGTCATGTAATGCTTATGCTTGTGTGGTTTTATATTTGCTAATAAAACATTTTAATAATATCCTTGGTGTGGTTTCTGACAAACGCTTGAACTCAAAAATTTCACAGCCCTTCACGTGGGGCAGCGTCCTGGAGCACTTTACAGTGGCGGAGTCTGACCCTGAGCCACGGGGAGAGGGAGTGGGGAGGTGACCATAAGCATGATCCAAAAGGTAGGTCGATAGGCGGAATTTGAAGGTGGGGAGGGACGGGGTTGGGCAGTGGGATTGAGGGAGTGAGTTCCAGACTTACGGGGCGTAGCGGCTGAAGGCACGGCCACTGATGGTGAAGAGGAGGGGACGAGGAACGCACAGAAGGCTGGAATCAGCCGAGCGGAGGCAGCGGGTGGTAGAGTGGATTAGGGTAAGCAAATCGGATAGGTAGAGAGGTGCGAGCGCATGAAGGGATTTGAAAACAAGTGAGACAATCTTGAAATTTATCCGTTCAGTAATTGGGAGCCAGTGGAGCCTGGCAAGGACTGGTGTGATGGCGGATGTTCCAACACACAGCAATGAAATGAATAACAATTTTTAAATACAAACAAGCAATATGATCCCGTTTCTGTAGTTTTGAACTTTTAAGGAATAAAAAAGGTACAACAACAACAAATTACATTTATATAGGTACTTTCACATCAGGAGGACATCCAAATGCACTAGACAGTCAGGGACAGTCAAGCTGGAGGTTGGGATCAGGAGTGGTGGAGGGCAGGGAGGATAGGGGTAGGAGGGTGACCGAAGGTGCAGTCTTGAAATGTGCCTTGAAGGAAGCAAGGGATGGAGCGAGGTGAAGGGACTGAGGGATGGAGTTCCAAAGAGCGAGGGCAGAGAGACTGAAGGCTGATGATGGGTGGGCCGGGGATGTGGAGCAGGACGGAGCCCACCCACCATCGCCGGTATTAGTATTAGTATTACATCCAGGCATAAGTGCAAGAACGATGTGTAGATCTTGTACTCAATCTGTACAGTGCTCTGGGCAAGCTGCTGTAAACATTTCTGGTGTTTATAACTTGAGACAACTGTTCAAACCTTACAGGCAGTGCTGAGGAACTAACAACTCAGGACCTTATAGAGATATATAAAACACCAAATTAAATAGAAAAAGTAAACTCAGAACAATAATTTCTGCCATGGCAGCAGGGCAAATGGGCACTTTCAGGGTTGTGAAGGAAAAATTTAGAACAGGCAGCAGGAAATATGGATGGAAATATGGATCTTCTGGATGGAGAACAATAGAAAGTACCAGACTGGAGTGTCAGCCTATAACTAGGAGCTCAAGTGCTGAAGGTGGGGGGGGCTAGAACATACAACTTTCTCATCAGGAACAGGACTAAGCCACAAACCTTTTTTTTTCTTCGTCAATTTGTTTTCGAAGTTTGTCTTCTACCTGGTCAGGCTCGGTGATGTTTGCTGAATCACTGGTCACACCTAGAAAAGTATTGCAGAAGTGAAGGTGAAGATAATAGAAGGAACTTGCAATTTTATAGCACCTTATTGTGTCAAAAAGACACACAGAGTTACAGTAATTAGTACAATGCATCAGTTGAGTTAGGTTGGTATTTGCTGACCCAGCATAAGAAACTGCAAAGCAGCAGGAGCAAACGCACTACCAATGACTGCACCTATGATCTTTGGGTGCAACCAATGAAATAAAGTGAGGGGTAGGGCGCAGTGGGGAGAAGAGGAGCCCTGTAGCTTAGCAGTTAGAGCACTCGCCTCACAAGCAAGAGGACCTGGGATCGATTCCAGACAGGACAAACTGTTGGGCAAGTTTCCTTATTCCACACGCCTCTGTTTATCTAGCAGTAGGTCGGAACTCAGTTGTTAATCAATTGGCGCATCACATTTCCGGGGGTAATAATCCCTTCAAAAAATAATAATAATAGTAATTTGGTCACTCAATCCACGACTGTTTGTGGGAAACTGCTGTGCGCAATTGGCTGCCACGTTTCGCCCACAAAATATACAGTCAATTCACTTTACAGTATATCCTGTGATGTGCTTTGAGACGTCTCGAAGACATGATAAGGCGCTGTATCTAACACAAGGATTATTATTATTAAGTTTGCTCCTATGGTGTGTATCAAATAACTTCTCAGGAACAGATTTCCATGATGTGATAATCACATCTTAAACTGCATTGAAAAGAATTCCCAGTGTTTTAATAGGGGTGCGTAAACTACTGTTGCAATATTCTTCAGCCACAGGAAGACATCGGATATAATCTGGGGTATTTCACAATCCCTAATGAGGAATCTGAAGTCATGCAAAAAGCTATTTCTTAGAACAGGATTACAGTAAAACTGAGTTGTAACGTTATAATACAGATGGGGTGTGGAGCCCAACATTTGCTATGCCCAAAAATGCAATATGTCCACTGGCACTTCAAATTACTGGCCCTACCCAGGAAGTCAAAAAAGACTGACTTCTGGCTTATCAGGTTGCCACTGATGTCAGTTCAAGTGCTCAGTAGTGAGCATTTTGACTTCCTACATGTTGGAAACATGTTGAAAAGCACTTCACAGAATATGCTGTAAAGTGAATTGACTGTCTATTTGTGGGCGAAACGCGGCAGCCAATTGCGCACAGCAATGTCCCACAAACAGTCGTGGATTGAAGTGATCAATTTATTATTGTTTTGTTTTGGAAGATTATTATTAGGCGTGTGGATTAAGGAAACTTGCCCAAGGTTTCACGCTGCCTGGAATTGAACCCAGGTGTCTCACTTGCAAAGCGAGTGCTCTTACCACTGAGCTACAGGACTCCACAAACATGCTCTATTGCAGCGCTGGTTGGAATTTTATGGATCCCGACTACTTGTACTCCGCTGCCCTAACCCTCACCCGTACTAAGCTTCATACCCCCATCACCCCAGTCCTTGCTACGCTCCACTGACTCCCTATTGCAGAACGAATCAATTTCAAGATCCTCACACTCGCCTACATATCACTTGTTGCCCTGAAACCTAACTCTCCGACCTGCTTACATCCCACTCCTCTACCCACTCACTTCGCTCAACTAGCTCCAGGGATCTTCTGCATGTCCTTCGTCCCCTCTGCTCCATTATTGGCAGCTGTGCTCTCAGCCACTAAACTACAATACCAAAAATCTGGAACTCTCTGCTTGAATCTCCCAACCTTGCCCCCTCCTTGCTTATTTTCAGATGCACCTGATGACCTTCCTCCCCTCTTTCCCTGACTTGGGGTCAAGCTCTACACTGTAAGCGCTCCGAGACGCTACCCAGCATGAATGGTGTTATTTAATGCAAGTTGTTATTGTTATGATGGAGCAGTACTGTATGTCACCTGACTAATGGGAACTTTAGTCAATCACAATTTATTGTGGGAATTCTGCAAATGAGACCCGTTTATCACGCCATCATTGTGGGTACATTTCAGAGTTAAGAATCTTGAGCGCTATTATGCAGTAATACAGAATGCAGAACGAATAATTTCAAACACAGGTTATGTGGACAGAGTCATCATCAGGTTTGCAGCTGATTCTCAGACCATCCAGTCACATAATCATCTGTTCTGGATAGCCTGGTGTTGTCTGAAAATATCAACTTAGAACCCGGTTGTGAGAATTTTTGTGCTATAAACCTAGGATCACTTGGAGCTTTCTCTTGAATCTTTCCACATAGAATCATGAGATACAACACAATAAGAAGACTTTCATACGATCAGTGATTTGTGATATTAAGTTAAATAAGCTTATACCGGGGAGGGAGGTAGACAGTATTAAAGGTATTAAGGGCTGTGGAGAAAAGGTAGGAAATGGGATTGAAAGAGCTGCTATGATTTGATAAACTGATGAAGCAAACTTGATAGGCCCCAATCTCCACTCTGACTGAGATCCAGCCCAGTATATAAAAATCTATTAATTTCTGGTCTGCAAAGCTTAGTGTTGCACTAGCGTTAATTATTCCTTTATTCTGATGATGTCCCCAAATTCAAGTTGAAACAAGTAACTTATGGGTGGGTGATATTGGAGAGCTGCAAAAGAAACACAATACTTAAAAGAGTAAAGGAACATAAGCAAAGTCAACTTAGGTTCAGCAGTTATCATAATGTATGTCCCTTTTGCAATGTTGTGGAGAACTTGTGGAGTCCTGTAGCTCAGTGGTTAGAGCACTCGCTTTGCAAGTGAGAGACCTGAGTTCAATTCCAGGCAGAGGGCGAAACCTTGGGCAAGTTTCCTTACTCCACACGCCTAATAATAATCCCTCCAAAAAACCAAAAAAAACAATAATTAAATTGGTCATTTTTCAATCTACGACTGTTTGTGGGACATTGCTGTGCGCAATTGGCTGCCGCGTTCGCCCACAAATATACAGTCAATTCACTTTACAGTGTGTTCTGTGAAGCGCTTTGGGACGTCCTCCCGACGTGAAAAGCGCTATATCAAATGCAAGGATTATTATTATTATTATTATTAATGTTCTTGCTGTGTCTGCCCACAAAGTCCTCGACAGAACAAATATGGAATCACAGAGAATGGTTTGAAATACTGGTCACTGTTCAATGATCCATATCTTCTTGCTGAAGTGCTTTGAGATTACATACATGAAAGGTGTTATATAAATGCCACTGATAAAGTGCCACTTTCATTTACAATATTAATAATCCTTACATTTGCTATAGCATCTTTCATGCTGGGAGGTCATCTCATTGTACTTTCCAAGACATATTGTAAAGTGCAGAGACTGTGGGTGAACTCGGCAGCCAATTTGCACACAGCAATGTCCAACAAATAGCCATGAAGTGAATGACTAACATTGTTTGGGAGGGTTGTTGGCCAGGACACCAGGAGAGAGAAACTCCCTTGCCTAAATTAAATAGCCTAAAAATTAATTTCTGCTGTTCACAGGAGGAAAGAAACAAGTTGATAGTGGCTGATAATTTTCTCCAGTTATTAATCCAATGTTATCAGTTGGAACTTAAGCAAGCAGTCACACAACTCGAATGGATAAAAGCATAAATGGATCAGAAGAAATGTACAGGGAGCAAAATCACCTTGTTAAATTACCTCCTGTAGCAAGACGCGTCCTAGGAATATAATGAATGAGTTTGAATGGTGGAATATGCAACATAATCCACTCCTGAAAGAGGCTACATATCTCATGAACCTAAAAGGTAAATGAGTTATGGAGTCTGAAGCCATGGGTATATTATTCTGTGTACTCCACTGCTCCAAGTAATTCATTAAGTACTTTGCACTCGCATGAACTGTTAACAGAAGTAATAAATCTGAAAAAAAGAAATGAAACACACTTCTAGTACGGATGAGAAGCTGGTCAGGGGGAACAGCTCAAACAGGCTGAAAGGATCCAGTTCAGTCTGAGAGTGGCGATGAACTGCACTTTTACAGCACCTTACATAGTCAAAACACCTTAATGTGCTTTGCAATAATTATTGTCAAGTGTAGGCAAACATGGCAGCTAATTAGCATACTGCAAGATCCTACAAATAGCTGAGGGGTAACCAATTATTCTGGAGGATTGTTGGCCGGGTCAGGGTCTTTCAACAACTGCCAACTGCTCTCCCAATTCTGCATTGGTGTAAAGTGTGGGCTCATATCATGATGTTGGGCTTGAAGGGTCAGAGACGGAGGGCAAATTTTATTTACCTGCATGCAAGTCATTTTGTTTTCTAGCTCAGGCAAAGCTGGGATACAAAACCCCTTCAGCCACTGGCTGGTGAGTTAATGGAATTTTCCATTCTTGGTGCAAATGGTGGGATGAAGAGAAAGGTGTTACCGCTTTAAATTGTTCAGTCTCAAAATATTGATTGAATAGGTATTGAACTTTGGGTCGGTGGGACATTAACGGCGATGGGGCTCAGGAAAAGCTACAGATCTAGTTACAAGTTACAGCTATCTATCTATCTACCTACCTACCTACCTACCTACCTACCCACCCACCCACCGAGCCACCCACCCACCCACGCACACCCATATCTATCTATCTATCTATCTATCTATCTATCTATCTATCTATCTATCTATCTATCTATCTATCTATCTATCTAATCTATCTATCTATCTATCTATCTATCTATCTATCTATCTATCTATCTATCTATCTATCTATCTATCTATCTATCTATCTATCTATCTATCTATCTATCTATCTATCTATCTATCTATCTATCTATCTATCTATCTATCTATCTATCTATCTATCTATCTATCTATCTATCTATCTATCTATCTATCTATCTATCTATCTATCTATCTATCTGCCTGCCTGCCTGCCTGCCTGCCTGCCTGTCTGTCTGTCTGTCTACCGACCTACCCACCCACCCACCCACCTAACCACCCAGCCACCCACCAACCGAGCACTTTATTGCTCTCCAGGCAATTTATCAAGCCCCCGTAGTCCTCGACTTGATTTGTTTTACAGAAAACGTTTGGTCTAGGTCCTTTTTTGGGGGTTGAAAACTTTAGGAATGCAAATCCTGCCAAGTTTGAATCAGATGGAGAGATAGCAGAAAATCTGGGAAGCAGAACCTGGTCCTCAGGAATGTAATTTGGCAGGAATGACAAGTAATACGTCTCTCTCTCTCTCTGTCACCAAACAAGTTAAAATTGTTAATCTTTTACAGTAACAGAGTGTTTCTTAAACTGAGTTTGAAAACCACTCAGTGCGTTGAGCTGTGTTTTGAGGTCAAGCACTACTATGGAATTGTGCACTCCAGAATGCTGGAGGAACAGATACTGTAAATCAGGTTAACAGTGAAGTGGAAAGGAACTCTGCAATACAAATGTTTACCTTTCCTATGCCTGTGTTCATTAAGACCAGAGATGAGAGCCAAGGAATGGAGACTTGTCTAAACTGACAAGATCTTATAATATAGGTTTTCAGTCTTTCCCACTTCCAAGTCAGAGTAACCAGAATTCTCGAGGTTACAGGATCACGATTGCCCTGGAGATCACATCCTGAACTTCAGCAAGTGGACATGTGGCCTCTAAAGCAGCTGTCTATCCAAAATGTTGTGAAATTGTAATGAATTACATTTATGTGGTGCCCCGTTGGGAGGATGTCTCAAAGCTCTTTATAAATCTAATTCAACCAGGATGGGGGTAGCAGCAGAGGGTGGAGGAGGATGACTGAAAAGAGTGGTCAAAAATATAGCTTTTAAAATAGGCTTTAAAGGTGGAGGGGGTGAGGTGGAGGGACCGTGGGTGGGAGTTCCAGAGAGTGGGCTAGAATGGCTGAAAGCTCACCCAGATGATGGTATGAAAGTTCTGGTGAGGAACACAAAACAGTTAGTTGAGGAAGCGGCCCAAGGTAGCTTTGCAGGAGGTTGCTGAGGTAGGATGAGCAAAGCTGTGCAGGGATTTGACTATGGATGTAATCCCAACTACAAGCTGCTGCATTGTTTCTGAAAAGCTTAGTACATGCTAATACTTGACGACTTCTGGGTCAGACAGAATGCCCTCAGGGTATAATAAGCTGTGTTATTATAAGCGAATGCGTGTTATAACCAGGTGTGTGATAATGGGGTTTTACTGTATTCATTTGAACTTGGACAGAACAAAGGTATACATACAACAAAGCCAAGAACTGTTAAGTGAAACAACTGAACAGATCCTTACTAAGCGAGAGACCTGGATTCGATTCTCGGCAGGGTGAAATGTTGGGCATGTTTCCTTACTCCACACTCCTCTGTTTACCTAGCATTAAGTAGGAACCCGGTTGTTAGTTGATTGGTGGATCACTTTTCTGGGAGTAATAATTCCTTCAAAAAAATAATAATAATGAAATGATAACTCAATCCACGACTGCTTGTGGGACGCTGCTGTGCGCAATTGGCTGCCGGATTTGACCCACAAAATATACAGTTACTTCACTTTACAGTCTATTCTGTGAAGTGCTTTGAGACGTTTCAAAGACGGAATCAAGCTTTATAACAAATGCAAGGATTATTATTACTCTATTCAATTAATGTTTTAAAATATTAAAATGAAGGGCTAGCGTGCATTTCTAGGTCCTTACTTCAAAGTCTTATCTGTTTCCATGCCAGATTTCTCTTTCCTACAAAACACTTGCCTTAAAGTTTGTGGATTACTGACTTTACTCAATGTTACAAGTTAAGATGGTTGGGAATTGGAAATGCTCTACTTGTGTATCAGAGAACACACGCTTCTGAGGTTGGCGTTACAAGTACATTTTTAGAGGCAGCGCAGAAGGAACTTGATGTTGTTTCTGTGTGCAGCAGGTGAAAAAGCGCTTCACTCTCTTAAGCACTCCGAGATGCTTCCCTGTGTGAAGGGCGCTATATGAGTGCAAGTTGTTGTTGACCTCCAACAATTACAGAACACTCTCCCCCAAAGTATATTGTGATAATCTGTTGGAGGTTGTCACCAATAAACGAGGCAAACAGAATGCTGGGTAAATTGCTAAATCAGTTGAATTTAGATCCCTACACATCAAGTTGTATTGTGCTCTGATTAGGCCAAACGTATAGTGCGTACAGTTCTGGTCACCGCGATATAAGTAGGCTGCCTGAGCCCTAAAGGCAGTGCAAAGAAGAGTAATGATGATGTTCCCCAGTGTTAAATGGTCGCCTCCCCCTTTCTCCTTCTCACTGCACAGGCTCCATGCCAGCTTCAAAGATGGCTGCCATGTCCTCCTCACCCACAGAGTCCTTAAAGAGGTGAGCTGCAGCCAGATCTGGGGAGAGGGGCTGAGACCCCAGCCCTATCTTATGGGAATGAGCTATGAGCAATTATTCAATAAGTTTTCAGAGAAGACAACTTGGTGGGACCTCACAGAGGTGAATGCAATTTTAAATGGAATTGAAAAAGTAAACCCAGAACAATACTTTAGGATGTAGCAAAGCAGTAGAGTAGAATAATAGGACATAGGTTTAGAGTTGGAAAGAGTAATTTCAGGACAGATAAGTTTTTCTTTACCCATACAATAATTAATGACTGGAACAGGTTGCCAGGAAGGGTGGTTGAGGCAAGGACATCTCATTTAAAAAGCAGCTTGAGGCTGTGATGGGAGGACGATTGGATGGGTGTTCTGGATGGATGAGATCAGATGGGCCGAAGGGCCTTCTTCATCCCGACTAATCTTGTGATCGATTGCTGAAAGCCAACATTACATTACTGTGATAAACCATCTAGTATTGTCGCTGCCCAACATTTCAGTTAGGAACAATTCATATCAGTATATCTACTGAACTTGTTTCAACTACATAGTGTGATTAGAATTTGAAGCAGCTCATTGATTTTATGCAGGTAACTTATACATCCGTCTGACCCTACTAAATCCTTCCCCCTCCCCACACGGCTGTTGGTTGCTCTTTAACTGGTCATGAGGAGTGTGTATGTGCCTGGGGTTTCATTATCTCCTTCCCAAGGGGTAAACATCTGGCAAATGCTGGCTGCCAATTTCCTCCACCTCTGGTCCTATAGCAGAGATTCGAAGTTGACTGCTTGGGAAATCAGATGCTCAGCTTGTCAGGGTTTGAATACACTGCCGACTTCAGGGTTGAAATTAAATAATTCCCATTATTTGTGTTGACAGGGTCTGACATCCCTTACTATATGAAAAAGGTTTCTTTTTCCAGCTATGTCAATCTTCAAAGATGGGAGTGCAGGTTAGTAAAGACCATAAAAAGACAAATGGAATTTAGGTTTTATATCTAGGACATCGAACATAAAGGAAAGAGGTAATGTTAAATCTGTACAAGATGTTGTTCAGTTCACAGTTGGACTATTGTGTGCAATTCTAGATATCCCATTACAGAAATGTTACCAGAGCTATGGAGAGGGTACAGGGTGGCTTCACATGAATGATACCAGAGATGAACAGCTATAGTTAGGAGATCTGTAGCCCTCCATGGCCTTGCTCCTTCCTACCTCTGTGACCTGCTAACACCATATCAACCCATCCGCTCCCTCCACTCAGCCTGCTCCACGTCACCTGCCCGGTCCTCCCCACCATCGGCAGTCGGGCCTTCATCCTCTCTGCCCCAACCCTCTGGAATTTTATCCCACAGTTCCTTTGCCGTGCTCCCTTGCCTCCTTCAAGGCACGTCTCAAGACCCTCCTCTTCGACCGCACCTTCAGTCACCCTTCTACCCCTACCCTCCTTGCCCTCCACCTCTCCTGATCCCAACCCTCTGCTGGGGTCCAAATTTCTGACTGCCCAGCGCCTTGGGAGGTCCTTCTGACATGAAAGATGCAGTGTAAATGTAATTTGTGTTGTTGTTGAAAGGTCTTCAAAATTCTGAAAGTTTTTGACAGGATAAATAATGAAAGATTATTCCTGCTGGTGGATCTCTGTTGAATCTATAATTATAATCTCACAATTGAAATAAGCAGGAGTTTAAAATAAACATTTTCACATAGAGGATTATTAAAACAATTATGGGGACAGTGCAGGGGATTGACTGGGAGCATAAGCTGGATGGGCCAAGTAACTTCCTCGTGTTTTGTAATTTCTCTGATTCTACATTGCTAGCTGTTGAGAGAGATTGATTGGGTCACTTACCGCAGGCTGCCCTCTGCATCTGTCTCTGTTCTATCTGAGCTTTCAGTTGGTCTGTAATACAATGAAAGTTATTAAGGTCAGACAGCGCTTAACCAATTGATTCTGCAACAGAATCTGTATTGCACTAAGTATTCCATTGTTATAACATTTCAAAACAGAGCAATTGCAGCAAAATAAATTACATAGGCACCAATATAATAAAATAAATAGGTCATGATGCAGCTCCACCAATGGCTCAGTGGGTAACCACAATACCTGGATGCAACTAAAACGAACATTAAGAGGATTCACTCAAATCTAGGTGTGATTGGCAGTTCAACGGACATCACCAAGTGTGACCAACATCAAGAAAAAATCAACAAAGAAAACAAGAATTTTGAGATTTGTTTTCGATCGCCTCTGGCGTAGAAGGTTGAGGGTTGAAGCCCTGAGAATCTGTAATGCACTCTTTCAGTTGAGACATTAAATTGAAGTCCTGCCTGTTCTTCGGGTAGATGTTAAAGATACTATCTAAAAAATAAAGGGAGTTTCTCCTGGTGTCCTATCCCAAACTCCTCCAGATTAATTGTATTCACCTCACGCTGTTTATAGAACACTGTTGGTGATAATGAGTGCCTACAAAGCACTATACTCAACAGTAATTATTTGTGAAATCCTTTAAAACATTTTAACAACAAGTTTATATTTATATAGTCCTTTCATGTCGGGAGGATGTCCCAAGGTGCTGGACAGTCCAGGTTTTGCATCCGAGCTGTGGGTGGGAGCCAAGGGGTTGGGGGTGGAGAGGGAAAAAAATGATCGAAGGTGTGGTTAAACGGGAAGGTCTTGAGGGAAAGGGCGAGTCGTAAGCAACCGAGATTGAAGTTCCAGAGAGTGGGGACTATTTCAACCTGATAAAGTGCCATATCCTATTTCACGGATGTATAATATCATTATTGTGTATATTATACAACTTTACAATATTCCAATACACAAATAGGTACATACATTTATAACGACACTTCAGGGTACAATTTTTAAAAATGATTTACTGCTCTCAGTTCTAAACTTATCTAAATGTTTTAATTAATTTTTCATTGAAATTGTTTGGCTTCGGTACGTCTCCACTAAGTAAGTGTGCACTTTCAACGGATGTTAAGCTTGGCTTCCTTTCTTTTGACTGCACTGCACATTGTCTTCTGGCATGGAAAAATCAGCACTTGCGGCAGTTAGCAACATATCCACCAGAGGCAAGCGTTGCTGAAAAACATACCAAAACAAAGTGTGCAGGAAAAGCACAGTTAGCGAAGAAACAGGCAGAAAAATTGCAACCTAGTTTTGGTCTGTGAGTTGGGAGCCAAAGATATAGACTTTTAAATTTAGTTCAGGATAGTTTTATTAATAATAAAAAAACCTTTAGGACTGCCTCCTCTTGGCTAGGAAAGTGGAGGGGCAAGCCAAGTGCTTTAGAGTTTCAGTGTTGGTTACTGTTCATTGCTCAAACCAACGGAGGCATAAGAAAAATTAAGATTGAGGATGAGAGGTGCCACGTCTTTTCTGTGCTGCTGCCAAATTACCTTGGACACTCGCAAACGTAGCAACATCATTTGAAATGATGCACATGGTAGGGCAGGTGGGGCGGGAGACATGTAGCAAGCCAGAGCCTGCTGAGCGGAGGGAGCGCACTTTCGCTCAACAGTGTGCGCTTAGGTTGATTTGATTGAGTTTTTTAAGATGACAAAGGGATTTGATATGGTAGATATAGAGAAGCTATTTCCTCTGGTGGGGGAATCCAAAACAAGGGGGCATAGTCTTAAAATTAGAACCAGGCCATTTAAGAGTGAAATCAGGAAGCATTTTTTCCACTCAAAGGGTGATAGAAATCTGGAATTCTCTCTGCCAAAAGACTGTGGATGCTGGATCACGGAAAAATCAGGTCAGAGATTTAGGAAGGGGCAAGGCCGTGTTTGGCTTTGAAAGCGAGAACAAGGATTTTGAATTCTAATCTGAGGGGTGGGGAGCCAGTGTAGCCAGGCAAGGGTGAGGGTGATGGGGTCATAGAGCCCGGTGCGGACACGAGCTGCAGAGTTCTGGAGGGAAGAGTTGGGGAGGCTGACAAGGAGGGAGTTTCCGTCGTTGAGCCTTGAGGTGATGAATGACTGAGGGGTGAGGAAATGGCAGAGTCAGGCAATATTGCGGAGGTGGGGGAGGGCAGAGCGGGTCATGGCATGGATATGGGGGAGAAAGGACAGTTGAGGGTTGAACAAGATGCCCAGGTTCCTGACTGGCTTGACGAGGTGGAGTCTCTATCCTGATGCTGCCAGTGCCTGAGGTGAGGAGGCGCTGGCGTGAGCCAATGAGGTGGCCTCCGCCTTTCAGCTGCAGAAAGTTGGCTCTCATCCAGGATTTGATGTCTGACAGACAGTCTGTCAGGACGTCAGCTGTCCTGGAATCGAAGATGGAGGCAGAGAGATAGAGTTGGGTGTCATCCACATACATATGGAATTTGACCCCATGTCTTTGGATGATGTCACCAAGGGGGAGCATATAGAGGTTGAAGAGGAGGGGATCGAGGATAGAACCCTTAGGAACACCGCACAAAGCTGTGTGGGGGCTGGAAGAGAAATTGTTGGCAGCCACAAATTGGAGACGGTGTGAGAGATAAGACCTGAACCATTCAAGGACAGAACCTTGAAGATTGAGGTGAGAGGAGAGGCAGTGGAAGAGGATGGAGTGGTCCACGGTATCAAAGGCAGCAGAGAGGACGAAGAGGCAGAGATCACAGATCACAGATGGACAGGATGTTGTTTGTCACCTTGACCAGAGCAGTTTCCGTGCTGTGAGCAGCACAGAAACCCGATTGGAGAGACTCGTGAAGGGAGTGGTAGGAGAAGAATGAGCAAAGCTGGGAAGCAACGAATCTTTCAAGGACCTTGGAAAGAAAAGGGAGGTTGGAGATGGCCGGTAGTTAGAAAGCAGAGATGGGTCCAGGGAAGATCTTTTCAGGATGGGGGTCATCATAGCCGTTTTTAGGGAGATGGGAACGCTGTCAGATGATAGGGAAAGATTTATGGTGTAGGAGATAGAGGGGCAAGGAGGTGAAGCTGGGAGGTAAGGAAAAGGGGTGGGAATGGGATCAAGGGAGCAGGTGGAGTATTTCATGCTGGATATGAGAGAGGAGGGGGAGATAGGTTCAAAAATGGGGAGGGAGAGATGGGTAGGGGTCAGAGCATGAGGGGCAGAAGGGGAGCTGAATAGATCCGCTCGATTTTAGACCTGAAGAAATCCAGCATCTCCTCACAGTCAGAGCTTGAGGAGAGAATGGGCAAGGCGTGGGAAGGTGGACAGAGGAGCCGGTTGGTGGTGGAGAATAGGAGCCTTGGGTTGTCCTTCACCTTCAAGATTATCTTGGATTAGAAGGGTGATTTGGTGGAGGCGAGTGCGCAGCAGTACGTTTTGATGTGGTCCAGCTAGATCTGCCTATGGACCGTTAGGTCAGATTGAGCCAGATGCATTCGGTGGCACTCACCTGACCCTTGAGAGCAGAGGTGGCTGGTGTACCAGGGTAAGATTTGTGCGTAGGACGCGATTTGGGAAGTGAGGCAGGCAAGGGCATCAAGAGTGGTGGGGAGGCAGTTGTGGAGGAGCGTGAGCGAGGAGGATAAACCAGCGCGGGGTGTAGGCCAGAGTGGGAGGAGTTTAAATGTCTCCAGGGCAGCGCAGAAGGATTGCGGGAAGATATTTTTCCAGGAGCAGGAGGAGATGGAGGTGGGTTTGGTGGTAGTGGGAAGAGGGATTGAGGAGTTAAAAGTGATGAAATGATGATCGGAGATGGCTTTGTCTGTGATTGTGATATCCGCGACACTGAGGCCCTGAGTAGTCACCAGGTCGAGTGAGTGGCCATGAACGTGGGTGGCAGAGTGGATGTGGAGAAGAGGTTGTGAGAGGAAAGAGAAGTCTGAGGAGATAGAGCAGGAGGGGGTGAAGTGAAGGTTGAAGTCGCCAAGGATGAGGTTCAGAACAGAGGCAGGGGGAAGGCAACAACAAGATTACATTTGTATAGAGCCTTTCACGTCGGGAGGATGTCCCAAAGCTAGGAGGGTGGAGATGTCAGAGATGAAGGAGGGGGAGGTTTGGGGGGCGGTAAATGAGAAAAATTTTGAGGCAAAGATTTTTAGAGTTAAAAAGACTGCTTATGATTTAGTTTGTAAAAGAGCCAACAAATGGAGATAAAATCTTGGATTTGATAATGAGTAACAGGGACGACCAAATCTCCAACATAAAGTTGGGAGAAGCATTAAGCAACAGCGATCGCAATGCAGTCACACTTGACACCACAAGAACTGGTGAGGTTACAAAAACCCAAACAAAATTGCCAAATTTCAAGAGGATTGATTTGTGCGCTTGAGAATTCTAATCGGAGTGGGCCAGGCAGGCTTAAATATGGCAAAGGGAATGGAGGACCTGTGGAGTTCCTTCAAGGAGATGATTATGAAGGCAATGGAACAATGTGTACCCATGCAAAGCAAAGGTACGAACCTTAAAGGCACTCCTGTTTGGTTGGACGGGGCCTCAAAGCAACTCATAAAGAGGAAAAAAAGGAATTTAAGGCCATGAAGGAAAATTGCACACAATTAAGTCGGATTCAATACCAGAAGGCATGCCAGGAATGCAAAAAAAAGGCATCAAAATGACAAATAGAAGCTTTGAATTGAACATGGTAAGAGATGTGAAGGATAATACAAAACATTTTTTTAGTTACATTAAGAGTAAAAGAAAAACAAGCAATGGAAAGTGGGTTTGGGTGAAGGTGGGTTTGGGAGAGAACATGACAAATAATGCTGCACAGGCTTCAATAGTGCTAAATACGTTTTTTGCATCAGTCTTTATCAAGAAAGAGGCGGTTAACCTATCTGATTTGGAAAGAGAACTCAAGGATGTCGCAGAGGAAAGTTGCAACACTATTCATATCACTACTAGCATGGTTGCCAAACAGCTGTGCAAACTTAAGGTAAATAAATGTCAGGGACCGGATAAGTTGCATCTGAGGATCCTTAAGGAACTAAGAGAGG